TAGTTCGCACTCTTCCTCGAAAGCGATCGGTACAGATCGGACCTGTCCAGGTGGCGCATAGGCTTAGGCTAGGAGTGACGGGCAAAGCGTCCGGGATCTGGTGCTAATAAACGGCCCGGTTCTCTTGCTACAGACTGCCACCCAAACCTCAGACTGCCAACGATTCTAGATCTCATCGCCTAAATGCACTAAATCCAAACCCTAAAAGCTTGAATCCCAGCTTTCCTCCATCAACAGTCTCGGTATCCGTACCTGCAGAACTAATCTGAAACCTTACACTATATGCCTCTTGCATGAATTTAAGCTCTGCATGCCTAAACCCGTAAACCCCTAAACCCTAATTAAGCTCTGCACGCCAGGTCCCTGGAGAAAGCCGGTTCGGTGAGACAAATAAGATTAAGGGTGTATCAGAACCCCCCAATGGCCCTTTTATGCAGCCCTTACGGTCCGTAATTGTGGGTATTTAGAGTATATTAGTTGAGGCTTTAGGGTTAGGGTTTTGGGCTTGGTTTTGCGGTTGGGGTTGAGGATTTATTGAGGGTCTCGTGTCTGAACCTCCAACCCTCAACCCCCAAGGTTTCAAACACATGACTGTATGATGAACAACCCAAGCCGCCTGATCTTTAATTCGGTGGTTGCAGGGTTTAGGGCTACAAAAAAAGCGGCCCGCAACTTCGCAGACGAAACCCCAATGCCTAGCCTCCCTATACACTGCGCTGGCGGCACCCGAAGCTTTAAGTTCTGAAGCTGTGCAGCCTGGCACGAAACTTTCTCGAGGACAGGCTTTATCTAAGAACTCTGAAGGATCTGGGACATTTACCTCGTGTTCGGTATAGAAAACCATCTTGCAAGAGCTCTCAGTCTCACCTTTGTGTATAGAACTCAAGGATCTGGGGACGGACTAAGACCTTAGGGTTTAGAGTCTTGGTGGTATCATTTCATTGCAGTTGTTACTATGGCTGCTGCGAATCTGACTATACACTTGCCTTTCTTGCTTTCTTGGGCTGCCAATGCAGTAGTTGCTTTACTTGATCTTTGCCCTTGCGACGGCTAGTGTTGTCCTCGATGGAGAGATAACAAGAATCAAAGGGGAAAAGGAGGGACCCTTGATAAGGACCCCTAGGTATATACCCTTAATATAGCCATTATATACCCATTATATAGCCCATTATTTGGTAGGGGTCCCCATTAAGGGTCCCTCCTTTTCCCCTTTGAAAGAAGCTGAGACGACAAGTCCTACGAGCCATCTTCTTGGGGAAACCGAAGTCTGATTCTGATTGAAATCCGACTCATTCCTTCATTCCTTACCGCTCAGTGGGTTTAGGGTTCCCTAAACCCTAAACCCTAAACCCCTAAATCCCTAAACCCTAAATCCCTAAACCCTAAATCCCTAAACCCCCAGCGACTGTTGGCTCATGTCTTGTAAACTAAGCTCATGGTTCAGGCTTTCATCTTTTTGGGGGCCCTTTGGGGTTAAGATGCTTCGGCTATGGGGCCTAGCTTGTGCCCCAAGCATAGATGCTCGTGCTTCCTTGCTTAACTGTTCGGGATTCAGGGTTTAGGGGTCTGTCCCGAAACGGCGCTCCAGCTTTGGTTAAGTCTCCAGTTGCGGACATGTTTCCCCTGACCGCCGCCTCGACAGGCCCTTTAGAACACCTCCTAAACCATAAAGCATCGATACAGCCCTATAAGATCCTAGGAAGTAGGAAAAGCAAGTCCAAAAACATAATCGCAAAACCCTTCCCAAAAGGACCCAGGTAAGCCCGTAAACTCTAAAACCCTAAACCCCCTAAACCCTAAACGCTGAACCCTAAACCCACCTCCAGGTTCGCATAGGGTCCATAGCAGGAGCCGTCTAAACCGGCGGGCTCCAAGTGTTCCTTGGATCGTCGGCTTTAAGGACTTTGCCCGGCTTAGGTTTACAGTTGTTTTGTGTTTGTGGTGGAGAGGCGGAGAGGGGGCAGGGCAAAGGGTTCAGGGTTGACAGGCCGATGATTTGGGCCTTTATGAAGAAGGCTTCTGCTTTTTAGGCACTTTACAGGAAGTGTTTAGGATTAACGGCTTTCGCCGCTAACAGAAAAGGGCTCTCTGAGCAAACACCGTTGGAAAATCACAAACATCAGGGTTGAAGCAGCTCGCCAAGAAAGATTGACGATCCGGGTGTAGGACGATGGGATAGCATCTACCAGGTTAAGGCTTTCCGAACCCCCCGTATCTCAAATCTTCCCACCAAGGTCAGGGGTTGTAGGGTTTAGAGTGTTCATGTAGCACAGAGCCGGCGGGAGCTTCGGATGTTCATCCCGCTAGTGTGTTTCTGAAGAGGAACGGCTTAGGGTTTAGAACCTCCGGCCTTAAAGGTTTATGGTCTTCCTGATTGTTTCTCCACGAAGGACCAGGTTAACATAGGTTGTCACTTAGGATACAAGCAGCCCTACGTGTGAAAAGCCTTAACTTCAACAAAACCAGTCGGGTCACTGACAACACAAATAGCAACTTAGACACTGTCCTCAACCCTGATCTTGACATAGCTTGGAGGATCATGGGACTTAGCAAGTAAGGTTTTTTTAAGTACCCTAATTGGGCTTATAAGTAATTATAACTATAGCTACCATATTTATAACTTATAACCTCAACTGCTAAGCCCCATGATCCTCCAAGAGGGCTTGAACTGACACCTCACGCCGCACACATAAGCTACAAAACTCCTGCGGCTTCGTGCAGCACCAAACTAAATGAGGGTGTGCAAAGGAGGTTTACTTTACTTAGAGCTCCCCACGATCATGGCCTGCATATCCAGTGATGAAGGACTCTGCTGAGGCTACGGGTTGTTCCACGCCCCCCATGCTGCCTCAGCCTGACATGGGCTTCACGGGCTTTGGTTTCGAGATAGTTCCTCTATAATTACCTTAAGAGTGCCACTTCCAACTGGGTTTAAGCTTCCGCGTGAGATCTCCGCCCCGCTGCACACCTTGCAGACGAAAAGCTGCGAAGATCCGGCTGAGAATTTGGAAATGGGCCACGCAGCCCACTGCTTCGTGCCTCTAGGGTTGAAGGTTTGGGGTTCCCTTCCCCGACCCCTCAAAGGCTAGAAGGGTTCCCTCACCTCTTTCTGTAAGGGGTTTGTTATGGTTGTACCAAGTGATTATTGAAACGGTAGGGCTTTAGGAATTGAGGGTATCACGTAGACTCAAGACCGACCCTGCAAACCGATCTGAAAAATCGAACCTCGAACCTCTTGCTGTCTCCGAAGATATGCCTTGAGGTTGTGCCCTTTTTTTTCCGGCGCTGCTTTTCTTCAAGACTGTACAGGATCTGGGTTTGGGAACCGAGACGGGGCGGCGTGGGGCGGGTTGTCGCGGCGGGGGAATCACAGCTGGGCCGGGTTATCGTGGCGGTGATGTCAAACCGCCAAGCTAAACTAGGACCCCCAAAAAAGCGCATAAGCAAAAATTAGGATAGGGATATCCCATATAAACCCCCCTAAAAGGAAGCCCAACAAGCTAGGGATATCACCATAAAATGCTCATGTTTCTGTGCATTTTGGGTCCCTGATGTCAATCCGCCAAGCTAAACGAGACTCACAGCTGGGCGGGGTCGCCACGGCGGCAAGATAGATGGGACTCACAGTTGGGGTGGCTCAAGCAGGACGTTTAGACACTTGGACCCGGCATAGGGTCCAACTAAGGAGTCGTGTGAAGGGTCCCTCTAGAATCTGAGGTAGACCTGAACCCCCAAAAACCATCTTTCTTAAAATTAAGCTCAAAGTCCCAAGAAAAGGGTAGTTTCCCTAAGGTTACAAAAGATCCGATGATTAGGTACTTGAGTTTAGGATAGCAGTCATGTTTGTCACGGTTGCCATTTTAGAGGGTACGCTAGTCTCTTTAGGGTACATGGAAAAGTCCTGAAGTCTCTGGCTCAGTACCCTCGGCCCTAGCCCAGAAGCAGACCCTTGCACCCTAAACCCGTACTCCAAGCCCAAAACCCTGAACTTTAGGGTTTAGGGCTTAGGGTTAGGGTTTAGGGTTAGGGTTTAGGGTTTGGTAATCCTGAATTGCACCCTCTCTGGAACCCCTCAAGGAATCCATAAAAAAAAAGGAACGTATAATAAGCCTGCAGGCACCACTGAGGCCCGGGCGGTTGGTCTCGAAGCCAAGTAAACAGCCTCCAGGGTTTAGGGCCTAGTTGCCTAGGGTCCACGGTTCAGGGCCTGAGGGTTCAGGGTTTAGGGCGGGCTTCCCGAAACTCCAAAAGCACTTGATGGGATTCACGGCTTAGTTTTAGATATAAATGTACGACGCATTTCCCAAAACACTTTGATCACGGAATATGAAGTCCTGTCTAGCTTTTTCGTTCAGTATCTTCCATAAGTTGATGGTTCGCGGGCTCCTCGGTGTCCAAAACCAAATAGCTCAAGGGACATACAGCAAGTTCTAGAAGGATCTCGAATAATAGTTTACAATATCTTACGGTATACTCCTTCAAGTCGAGCTTTTGGAGCAGTGGCCCCCCTCAAACATGAGCAACCAAAGCAAAACCCGAGACTCTGAACCTAAAGGCGTGTATTCTCGTAGAAAAACAGTACGGAACCCTAAGGAATACTGCAAGTAGTTATTCTGATCTACATTAGTTTCAACGGCTGTTGGCTGTTGGGGCACAGAGGAATCCAGGATCCAGAGCTTCAATGTAGACCTTGCAGTAAGGGGCTGTATCAATCAGTTGTTTGTGGTTGGGATTTGGGCTCCCTTCCGTGCGCGCCTGGCCCTAACCAAAAACCCTACCTCCAAATCATATGCATACTCGTGATCATACTAGCAGTAAAAAGAAGTAGAAGAAGGTGGATAGGCATCATTCAGAAGGTGTAAACCCTAAACCCTAAACCCTAAACCCTAAACCATTTGCAAAGCTTCAGGTAGGAAGCTTGTTTCTAATGCGGCGCTTTGGAGATCTAGGGTTTGAGGTTTTGGGGATAGGTTAAAGAATAAGCGAAATCATAATATAGAACCGCTGAAACTAGAATCGTGCCGACCCTTCTAGATCAGGCGCGTTTAGGGGCTTCTATCGCATCTCCGCCTGAAGTTCATGGTTTTTGAAGTGGGCCGGAGCAAGAACTCGGCACCGTCTCACTTTAGGGCTTTGGGCCAAGGGCTCTTTGCTTACAGCTCAAGCTTCCGGGTTGAACGCTCCGGGTTTGGGGCTAAGGGCATGACCGCCGTCCACCGCTGCCGCAACTATTATTGCTAGCATTGCAAAATCGGGTTGCTCACCATTCTGCGCCAGGCGCCGCCCACTAGTCGACCCCATAGGGTTGCCCTGCGCCCGCAATGGCTTCCGGCGACAGCACTAAGACTTCAAACAACTTCGTCTGTCTATGTCCAGACCCAGCTTCGAGAAGTGAAGGTCCGAACAGTTCTCCACCCACGTCTTTCTCAAGTTCTCCCTCCACAACCTCGTCAAGTTCCGGCAGCTTTTGGAGCATGCCAAGCTCGCTGGCGGCTCTCTTCATGCACAGAAAGGCGTCTCAAAACTGTGCAACTTGTCCGGCTTGGCTGTGACGGTGTGCCGAAGAAGCTTATGTGCGACGAAACCAAGCCAGGCTGCAAGCCTCTAAACCCTAAACCCTAGATAGTGGAGGAACGCAGGGCCGGGAGGTTCAGGGTTTCAGCGCTGCTGCCACCAAACTCACACGCCCTAAACCTTCAACCGCTCACACCCATTTCTTTGGCTCAAGCCTTGTGTCGGGGAGTCGGTTTTGTCGCGAGTCTCAGCCTCATTATGTCCTCATTAACAGTTAGAGGACTCTAGGAGGCAATGTTGTTACTAGCTACTCCGGCCAATATCTTACACAAATGCCAGCCTCTGAATCCCACGTCCTTGAAGGGTCAAGGGTTCAGGTTTACTAAACCGCTTACTACAGCACGCACTATCCAGCAAACACACCCTAAACCTTCATCCCTGCTGCAATTTGCCATAAGGTTTGCGGCAAATTGCAACGTGTGACTATTGGCTTTGATTCAGACCTAAACCCTAAACCCTAAATCCTAAACCCTAAACCCAAAACCCTAAACCCTAAACCCTAAACCGCTCTGTATACAACGGAAGCTTAGTCCGGCACTTTTGAATCCGGGCATCTACACTCTCGATGCTTTCGACCTCGACATGCACAGCCGGGTCGCGGTGTTTCGAGTTTAGAGGGGGCTCAAGGGTTTAAGGCCCAAGGGCTTAGGCTCTAGGGGTTTAGGGTTTAGGGTTTTAGGGCTCTGGGTTTAGGTGATGAAGAAGGATGAACATGTCAAGTCTCTGGAAGATACTCGCAGAGAAGCTCCTCTTCAACCCAGCCAGGGGAAACAGCAAAGGTCCCCATGATCTACTTGCAGTTTAGGGTTCGGGGCAGATGGTTTAGGCCAGAGGTTTAGGCGCAGGATTGCAACCGCTCCAAGCTCAGAGAGCTTCGCCGTCAGTATAAGGCTTGAGCCAAGACCCCGAAGCATAGTGTATCAATGAAGACTTGTAGAAGCAAACTATGATAAGACTCGCTGAACATGCCACGGGCTCGGGCAAGGTTCGTGCTTGAGGATTTGGCTTTTCCCGTGCTCCCACAGGGCAAAGGATGGCCTGCGGTTGATGATATAAATGATGCAACCCATAATAAGGAATATACCATAATTCCCATAGTTTCGGGTCCTTAAGGTAGTGCCGGATTTATATCATCAACCGTAGAGCTCGAAGCCACACCCTAAAGCAACAGTTGAATCCTCTCAACCCCCAGCTTCTCCAACATGGGAGTTTCCGCAAAATTCGGGGTACCTTTAAAGGGATCTATAATGGATCCTTTAAGGGATCTATAAGGGTTCTATAAAGGGTTTAAGGGTTGGGAGTTTCCGATACTTCGGGGGGGTACCTTCTTTCAGGGTCCTTATAATCGGGATCCTACTGTTGAGGGTACCATGTTAGGTCCCCTATTTGCGGAAACTCCCACATTCATTGAGATCACGATAAACCCTAAACCCTAAACCCTAAACCCTAACCCGACTCGTCTCCAGTGCTTCACAGTTCAAGCTTGGAGGACCCGGGCAGTCATAAGCACCCTAGTTGGGATTATCAGTCATTGTAGCTACACTTGCCTTGGGTCCGCTTTTAGGGCTTAGGGTTTAGGGATTTAGGGTTTAGGGGTTTAGGCCTTAGGGTTTAGGTTTAGGGTTAAGGGATCTATACCCAGACCCCCGGGAGGATCCAAAAAGTAGATACCCTTACTAGTATAGGGCCCCAAATTAAGCTTTCTAGATCCTCCCGGAATTCTGGGTATAGATCCCTTCACCCTAAACCCTAAACCCTAAACCCCTAAACCGTAAGCCCCAAAAGTGGACCCCCAAGAGCCCAGCATGGCAACCTTAGCCTTAGACCTAAATCCAAACAGCCCCAGGACCTCGGTACCCCAGAAAGTGGGGCCTGAACAGTAAGTTTAGGGTTTAGGGTTCAGGGGTTTGCGGTTAGGGTTTAGGGTTTAAGGTTCAGGGTTTAGGGTTTAGGGGTTTAGGGTTTAGGGTTTAGGGGTTTAGGGTTTAGGGGTTTGGGGTTTAGGAATGCCGGTTTCTATGAAAGTTACTGTAGGGGTCGCGTAAACGGGCGGGATTAGACTTAGCTGCATTTTGGGGGGCGTACTGCACTCGAATTAGACTAAGGACTGTCAGGGGGATTACTAATATTGGCCACCCAAAAACCTAAGGCCTAAGGCATCGATGCGAAAGGCGCACCTTTCCAGGCCCCAGCAGATCATCTGCACCTGGTGGCACCTGCTCAGTTCAGGGTTTGGGGTGAAGGTGTGGAGGTTAGGGCGGTTACTTGGAGGATCAGGGGACTTAGTAAGTAAGGCTATAAGTACCCTAATTGGGGTTATATGTAAATAGAAGTATTGATACCTTATTTATAACCCCAATGACTAAATCCCATGATCCTTTAAGTAGGGTTTAGGCTTTTGGGATTACGGTTCCAGGGTTCTTGAAGGTCTAAGGCGAAGGCTTCAGCGGTTACAGTGCTACGAGCAGGCAGGGGATAATAATCATATAGGTGGTTGTCAAAGTTAGGGTCCCTTTTTGGGTCCCTATTTTAATACGGCACCTATTATTTAGGGTACCCAAAAAGGGACCGTAATATTGAAAACTACCCATATATATATATATATATGTACTCTTCCAAACACGAATCTAAAACCCCAAGTGCCAAATTATCAGGTCCTTCGGAAGATGAAACCACCAACACCCTTATGAGAACTGTCATGAGAACCCCTTAAAGCCTGGTTTGTTAGGTCCTTTGGGCCCTAACCCTAAACCCTAAACCCTGAACCCTAAACCCTAAACCCTGAACCCTAAACCCTCAACCCTAAACCCTAGAACCCTAAACCCTAGAACCCTGAACAGGGGCTCCGGTTGAGACTCAGGCCCTGGGTGCTTTAGTGTTTAAGGCCACGGTTCAGGGCTTAGGGTCAGAACTCAGGGTTTAGGGCTTCGGGCTACAACTCAGGGTTTAGGGCTTCGGGTCAGAACTTAGGGTTCGGGGCTTGCGGTTAGAACTCAGGGTTTAGGGCTCAGGGTCAGAACTCCGGGTTTATAGAGCTTAGGATCAGAACTCAGGGCTTAGGGCTTAGGGTTAGAACTCAGGGTTTAAGGCCTAGGGTCTGAACTCAGGGATCAGGGCTTCGGGTTAAAACTTAGGGTTTAGGGTTGGTTAGAACTTACGGTTTTCGGGGTTGGCCACGTCCACGTGCGGTTTTTTCAGAGCTCAGATGAGATCAACAACGACAATTAGCGAATCAAGTCGCTCAAAAACCTTAGTCTGTAAATATCCTAAACCCTAAAACTTCCCAAGTATCTCACTATCAGGTCCTTTGGACCCTTACTTGGAGGACCTGTTGTGTTGGTAACTAGGGTGATAGGTAAAGCAACTACAGTTATGGTTCCTTACGGCCAAATGAGGTATGCATAGCTACACTAAGTCCCATGACCCTAAACCTTAAGCCCTTATATTACCCCTATAGATCACTTGAATCTAAGGGTAGAAGGAGGGACCCTTAATAAGGACCCCGAGTATATGCCCTTAATATAGCTATTATATACCCCTTAGATAGCCCATTATAGGGTAGGGGTCCCCATTAAGGGTCCCTCCGTTTCCCGCCCCGTGCATCACCTTCTGGTTGAGGCCTAGGCTCTAATAGGGCTTGCGGCATAGGCTTTAGGGTTCAGGGGAATCACCCTAATAACACGAAGCGCGTAACCTTATTATGATTTCTTTCTATAGGTCCTTCAGGTGGTGGGTTATTTGGGGTTCAGCTAACTGCTTCAACCCCGAAGAACCTGCCACCTGGAGGACCGACAGCTGGAAAACTTGCAGTCGGCTCGCTCTGACAGACGTGTGGTATACGTCTGCGGAACTCGGCCCGCGAAGATACTGAGCTGGGCACGTACCATGGGTGTCTTCTGCTCCATCGACTGACGCGCCACAGTCATCTCAGCAAACGTCCACGGGCAAGCTGCGTTTGGGCACAGGCCTCTTCGTCACTGAAGGTCAGGTAGCATGCCGAAGTCTTGGCAATGTTTGGTTTTTGTATGTTGACAGCAGGTGCCATTTTGCGATATTCCAAATCAGCATACAGCATACGTGATCTGATGTAGGAATGCTTGCATTGAGCAGACTTATTGGCTCTGATCGCCAATGTGCTTTTGTGAACTCAATGCAAATGGACTCAGGCTGCTTGCCTCGAATGTCCATGGGAAATGGGGCCACGATTCCCTTGGGATAATTTCTGCCAAGAATAGGGTTTTGGGGTAGATTCTACGAAAAGAATATAAAGGAACCCCACAATAGTATAGGTGATCGACAGCAATTACTGAGTCCCCTATATCACACCCTTCTGCCCGGAAGGTTCAACTCAGAAGCATACTCGGGGTGAAACGTTGAACCACAGCCGGCTAGACATGCTAAAACATGCACTCCAAGACTAGAGTAACTCAAAAAACCGAAAACCTCGCGAACCCTAAATCCAGAAAGACCAAAACTGTAACAAAGACATACCTGATCCTTCATGAAGACCTTGTAGAGCCCTGTAGAGGCATGCTACAATACGGTATACGAGTTCACATTAGGTAGTATAACAAGAGTTGAAACTCGATGGAAGTCTCATTGCTCGAGGTCGGCTCGACGTTTCCGTCCCTAAACCCTAAAACCCTAGAGCCTGGGAGAAGTCGACATGAGGGAAGTCTGCTTTCAGCTCCTGTCGAAATGCAGGCGGTTCTACAGGGTTCCATTGCGCTTCGCGAGGGGGTTCTTTATGTGTATCTGGCGTTCGGGATTTGGGGTTCAGGGTCTGGCTCCATGTAGGGTCTATATTAGGTCCTTGAAGCTGTCCTGCTGCCTTCGCACCTCCTTGAGCGTGGAGAGCAGCTCAGCGCCCACCTCGCCGTCCCACCACGCCGGCCACCGGTGCTCCCAGTTGGTGCTGCTTCGTCGCCCTGATATCCTCCTTGCTGAGATCTGGCATCCTCAATTGAAGAAGCATCTCGACCCGCTCTGGGTCCGACAGGCGGTCCGCCAGCAGCGGCAGCGCCGGACGACCTTTTGCGACCCATGCGCGCATAAGACGCTTGTGGGACGCTGACATCAGGTGTCCTGCGGTGCTGTGCTTTCACACAGCAGGCAATATCGGCCACTTCTTCCGGTCGAGGCCTGCTAGCTTCCAGTGAGTCTGTAGAGCGAATGCATGTCACGCGCATGCCCGGCTCCATGGGGAGCCACTCCAACGTCTCCGCGTTGAAGACCTTACTGCCCCCATACAGTATAGTCTATAATCGGGCTACTATTCAGATATTCAATTATTACTGAATGGGGGCCGTACCCCAGGTCTATATGAGCTTCGAGGAGGGCTTCGCTAAGTTGGATTCCTCAAGGTCTGCAGACGAGTGTCTACAAGGTTTCTATCCAGGCGCTACGTAACATGGATTCTACGGATTGAGAAGGTCTTGCAGGGTTGCACATGCTGCTCTACAGCGTGTTTGGTTCAATGGTGTAGCAGACCAATCGAGTTCTGGAATAATTAGAGTTCGGGGGTAGATTAAAACATAGTAGTATGGAAACTATGATGGGAGGGGTATTATCGTTGATCATTCCGACCACGGTTTTGGCTTTACGGTTTGGGAGACACCCCTGAAGGGCGTAAGGGTTGAAGCTAGTCGGGTCTTCGGCCAGTGTGTGTTTCTTAACCAGTATAGTCTGGGAGACCGTTTGATATGCGGGACTTCGGCAAATGCGGGAAAGGCAAGACTGCACCGGCCATTGCTGAAACTACCACCCTAAGGGTCCAAGTGCCTGATTATCATATACTCTCCGAAATAGAAACCTAGGTAACTACTCTCCTTAACCCGAGTACCCAATTATGGGATCCTTTGGACCCTTAGGGTCAGCTTTACTCTTATAAACGACCTGCGGCTTTTCGGTCCAAGGGTTTTAAAGGTTCCTTTTAGGGTTCCTTTGAGGGTCCATCCTTTACGGTTTTCTTACAGGATCTTTAAGGGTTCCTTTAAGGGATCCTTAAGGGATCTGTAAGGGTTCTCCGCAAGGGCATGAGAAGCTTCCTGCCATACCCGAGGGGTCCAAGCAACCCAATGAGCAGGTACTTGCGATTAGGTTAGAACCTAGACCCCCCCACTAATATACCCCTATTAACGGCCACAAGGACTCTATTAAAGGGTCCCTGAATGGGTGTCCTCGTACAACCTCAAAGATTAGGGGTAGACTTCAAGCAGGGTCGGAAGTAACCTAAGTGGGGTGACCATAGTTTCAAACCCCTTTACCATGTACCTATAATAGTGTAATATACCAAGTCAACCGAGTGGGTTACTCTTCGGTGTGTCATGCTTCGGTACTTAGGAGTAGTGCCCAGAAAAGTAAAACCCATAGCCGAACGAAACACAGTGTATCTGGTAAGCTATCGGCCTCTTTGTCACAGGGCATTTCCTTGCATACTGGTTCGTCTCACTGGCCCAGACACCCAGGTAAACCCTTGTAGTAACCGATCTTTGCTATTCCCACAAATCCTGAACACCATGCCGATACAGCCATCCAAACCTCAGAACCCATGAACCTTAAACCTTCCAAAACCCCCTAAGCCCTAAACCCTAAAGTCCACAACAACCCCAAACCGTCGTTGATCACGGGGAGCGCCTGGTCCGAGGGATAAAATTCCCAAATACAATATGGGCTTAGGACTTCTTCTTCTCCAAGCTCTAGTCCAACTTGGCGCTACATAAATTCAGTAACTCTTAGGCACAGGGCTTAGGGTCGGGGATGCGGGTTGTTTAGGATTTAGGGTTAGGGAGAAGCCTCCCAAATGCGATATAGGGGCCGTAAAACTGGGGTGGGGGCTTGGGGGGATATTATGCTGTAGTTTTCATGAGGAGCCCGAAGGAATTGTCTTACTGAGTTTTCCGATCCGCGTATTGCGATAAACTAGCCGTGGAGGGTCATGTTACCAAACCAAGGGGATAATTTCTAACCACCCTACCAGCACTAGGTTGCTCTAGTTGCATGCCCTTTCCATAGTAGTTCCTTTTTGGGATTACCTTATAGGATTCTATATATGAACCCTGAATAGGAACTAGTATGGAGCCTTCGGGTAAGCCGTCAGAAAAGCAAGAAGCGAACCTGCACGAAGGAGGCTCCGAGGCCCTGTGAGTTCACAGCAAACGCAAACTTAAGGTGGGTTTAGGGTTTAGTTTTTAGGGTTTAGGGTTTAGGGTTTAGGGTTTAGGGTTTAGGGGGGTTTAGGAACGAGGATACTTCTTATAACCCCGCTTGAGGTAGGGCATGTATTAATCAGGGCTTTACAATATGCTTTAAAGTGCGGCTCTGGAGTTGTCTGGATTGAACCCTGGCCCTAAACCCTACATAAGCCCTTACAAGGCCTAAACCCTAGACCCAAGAGTAGCCTAGGAAGAATAAAAAGGGTGCCCTTTTTGGTTTAAAGGGGCTTATAAGGGAACCTCAACCCTAAAAAAAGGGAATAAGGGCCTACTCTAGGTCCTAGAACCCTGAAGCCCTGAACCCCAAGCCGATAAACCACTCCCCTTCCTCGGTAGGTCGTCGGGAATCGCAAGGCTGGTACCTTGGTGCTTCTCTCCGGCATTAGGGTTTAGGGTTAAGGGGTTAGGGTTTAGGGGTTAGCGTTTAGGGTTTTCGGGTTTATGGCTTTATGGTTCCAAATTAAAAGTTTGGATTCCGGTTAAAGGCTTCATGGCTTTGCAGCTGAAACGTCTATGGTTCTGCCATGAAGGTTTATCGGGTTTGAAGCGTCGGGTTTAAACCCTAAACCCTAAACCGTCGGCTTTCAGGGTTCAGGGCCTTGTGCAAAAAGACAAAGTTACAGAGCGCATCCGGGGTTTGTGCAGGTATAGGAAATGAGGCCCGCACGTTGAAGCTGTATCTCGTCATGGGGATTAGGGACAAAATAGACAATACGACGAAGACGGCTGCATCATAAACACGCAGAGAAAGTCTATTCAAGTAAACCCTAAACCCTAAACCTAAGCCCCTAAACCCTAAACCCCTAAACCCCTCAACCCCTAAACCCTAAACTCCTCAACCCTTAAACCCCTCAACCCTAAACCCCTAAACCCTACGTAAACCCTAAACCCCTAAACCCTAAACCCCTAAACCCTACGTAAACCCTAAATAAATGGGCTCTAAGCCCTGAAGCCCGTCGTCAAAGCTCTTACCGGCCTCGGCCACCTCGATTGTTTAAATTTTTTTTACCAAAAGGGTCTACAGTAGAAGCCAGAAAGTTGGAACATCGGTATCCTCATGCCCTTAGAGTAAAGTATAAGGGATCCTAGCACTAATCCTCCTAAATTCATGTTCCAACTTTCTGGCTTCTACTGTAGGTTAGGTACTGTCCCCATACAGTAAGAGTCTATGATAGGGCTACTATTAAGGTCCTAATATATCCGCATTATGAATACTATTCAACTGTTACTGGGGGAGGCCGTACCCAAGGTTTAGGGCCGATATAGGGGCCTTAACAATTAGAACAGAGGTTGGGGCCCAGTATATTATAATTATCATCTTTTTTGGTCTTGAGAGGGTATTACTGCTGATACAAATCGCACAGGGCCGACTACACTAGACTATTGGCAAAACTGTTCAGCAAGGCAGAGATTCAAAGGGGAAAAGAAGGGACCCTTAATGGGGACCCCTACCCTATAATTAATGGGCTATATAATGGGTATATCATAGCTATATTAAGGGTATGTAGGGGTCCTTATTAAGGGTCCCTCCTTTTACCCTTGGAGAGAACGATTACGTCAGACAGAATGGCCTTGCCATGAGGATCTAACATATCGGCCCTGAGACTCATGCCAAACCCTGTCCTGTGACAACTCTTACGGTTTTCTCCGCCTTACCTTACCACATCATAAATTTAGAGATCCCAATACCCCTTAATTAAGGAATATATCCTTAAATCATAAGATTAAGCCCCTAGTATTTGACGCATACTCCTTAATTAAGAGGTATTGGGTGCTCTGGGAAACGATCCCCTCAGAATATGCTTGGAAACTGAACTGCATGTTGCATGCTGCCACGGAGACCAACTCTGAGTCTGCATCCACAGTGCGAGGTCTAGTAAAGCGGGCGTTGCCGCAGGCGAATTGTACACATAAGGAGATCCTCAGTGTATTCGCGCAGCTCCGCAGCATCCCAACGGTGGTCATGGAAGTCGAAATCCGCTAAGGAGTGTGTAACAACTCACCTGCCGAATGGACTAGCCCCGAAAATGGATGGCGCTCAAGCAGGCGACGACCGATGCCCGACCACTGGTGCAATTCTCCTCCAAAACGCCCTAAACCTCAAAGCGCCCTAAGCTCTAAACTAAAACCCTAAAGCCTATCCTAAAACCCAAAACCCTATCCTAAACCTCAACGCGCCCTATAAGCTCTAAACCCTAAAACCCTGAAAACCCTGAATCCCCCCCTAAACTTTAGCCCTTCAAGGAGCCCTTGAAGGAGCACTTCCAGGATCCCTTAAAGGAACCCTCAAAGGAACCCTTAAAGGTCTACCCCTTAGAAGGGGCCCCACCCTGTAATAGTGGTATAATAGGAATATAATAGGGCCCTAATATAATCCTTATAGTCACTATTACAGGGTGGGGCCCCTTCTAAACTATACTGAACTTAGAACCCTAGCAGAAATTCTAACTTTCGCTGTTTCTTACAAATTATAATAACCAAAAATTGAAAGTTCTTTCTAAGTACCCCTAAGCAAAGGATACCCCCCCCAAAAAAAACTGTGAGGCCGCTGCTGCTTCCCACAGAACTCGCGCAGCGCCTGCTGCGAAGGACCCGCTTTTTTCTTGCAAAGCTCCACATGGACCCTAAGAGGGTTCTAGGGGTTAGGGTTATATAAGAGGGCTCTGGGGGTAACCCTAAACCCTAAACCCTAAACCCTAAATTAGGGTTTAGAGCCTTCAGACTGAAGGTTTAGGGCTTACATATGAGTGGTTGTCAAAATTAGGGTCCCTTGTTGGGACTCTATTACTAAAGTACGGCACCTACTATTTAGGGTACCCAAAAAGGGGCCATAATTTTGACAACTGCCCGCATGAACCCTAAGAGGATTCTAGGGGTTAGGGGTTTAGAGGGTTTTGGCTTGGGGTTTAGGGTTTAGAGGGTTTTGGCTTAGGGTTTATAGGGTTTAGGGGTTAGGGTTTAGAGGGTTTCGGCTTAGGGTTTATAGGGTTTAGAGGGTTTTGGTTTAAGGGTTAGGGTGGTAGGGTGTAGGGTTTTGGCTTAGGGTTTAGGGTTTTGGTTTATAGGGGCTGGGGTGGTAGTGTTTAGGAGATTCAGGCTCTGGGGTTTACCTGGACTCCCGAAGTGGCTGAAGGGTTTAAACTTCCTGGTTCAGGGTACGTTCATGTTTATGGCTCAGGTTCTGTTAGGGTTTAGCCTGGCGGGTAGGCTTCTGGCGTAGCGTAGAGCTTAAGGTTTTGCTTCTGTGGACTGATGTCAGCATGTCTGTAGACACCGGTTTGGAAAACTCTCTTCCTAGACATGAGGCCTTTCCGCAACCTCTCAATCTCCGAAGCCCGATGTTACCTAGCCGTTGCGTTCACCGCTAAGTCTAGGGAACTACGGTTGATGATGTAAATCCTGAATTAGCTTAAGGACCCTAAACCATGGGAATTATGGTATATTCCTTATTATGGGTAATGCAGGGTTTACATCATCAACCGTAGTAACCTAGGATCCCCAGAGCCTTGGGATAAAAAGGGCTGCCTTTTTGGTATCGGGTACTTGGGGGATCCTGGGACTTAGTAACGAAGGTTATAAGTACCCTAATTGGGGTTATAAGTAATTATAACTACAGTTACCCTATTTATAACCCCAATTACCAAGTCCCATGATCCTCCAAGTAGTTGTGTAAGGAATCTAAGACCACAAAAAAGGAACAAAGGCCCACTAACAGACCTAGCAATAGTGTTCGCCTCGGCATGGGCCGAAGCTGTCAGTTTCTTTTTGGTTTCCTGTTCCCCCTCCGAACCTCCTTCCCCTCTCTTAATCCACTCCCCGGTGATCCCCCCAGCCGCCCTAACTGCCCAACCCCCCGCCCCTACCAAAAATGAAAGGCCCACTTGCAATTCATGGCAAAACCGACAAATGCGATGCCCGTGGGCCGAGGCGGATTCCCTTATGGTCCCTATGCTGGCCATCTTTTAAGATACCCTGAACCTGTATTCGATTTACCGAGGCTCCTATGCTACAGCTCTCAGATGAATTGGTTATATGTAGTTATGGCTATAGCTACCTTATTTAGAACCCTAGTTTCTAAGTTCCATGATTCTCTAAGTATGGTGCGGCAAGGGGGACGAACTATCAGCCTATCAGTCATTACTCCGACCTGCATAGTATCACAATCCAAACTGACAGCCTTTCCCGTACTTTCTGACACGCATTTCAGGTTTAGGGAGATCTTCAAGACTCAATGAACTGCCTGGAGAAACACAATTATGCAGGAATAAACAGACTGTAATCATGCGATCCTACACCGTGGGGGGGTGGGGGGGCGGGGGGAAATTGGGAACACAGATGAGACCACGCCAAACATGCAAAAAAAAGGCTTAAATCGGAGAACTAAAGTAACTTAACTAAACATAAAGCCACAACTCCTAAGCCCCAAACTCCTAAACCCTAAACTCTTGAATCCAGATAGCAACAGTCCCTAAACCCACCTTAACCTCTAAACCCCTAGACCCTACAGTACTTAGAGGCCAGGGGACTTTGCAACTAGAGTTATCGATCAGTTCACTAAAGTCATAACTACTCATAACCCCAATTAACCCACTTAAGACCTTGCTTACCAAGTCTCCTGATCCTCCCAGCAGACCCCAATCTCAGCGTCGCGGAGACATAGGTCTAATGATATGCGGAACCAACCGTAAACCCTTCAACCCGAACTCTAAACCAGCCTCCACAGCATGCAACTTGGGTCCGCCGGGCTCATCACAGCCGAAGACCTAAGCACGAGCTCTTCGGTTTGAGCTTTAAAAGTTTCGCGTCTAGGGCTCTAGGTGTTTCGGCTTTAAGGTTCAAGGGTTTACAGTAGAAGCCAGAAAGTTGGAGTATCATTATCGTAACCCCTTTAAGGTAAACTATAGGGGATCCTACCATGAAACCATATTCCAACTTTCTGGAGTTCCCTTTAACCCCTAAACCATCCTAAACCTTCGTTCTGAGGCCCCGAACTTTCTGGCGTTCCCTTTAAGGGATCAGGGTTTAGGGCTTTAAGGATTTGGGTTTCAGTGGTGCGGGCCGAAGATCTTGGGTGGCAGAGTCGGCTCTGAGGCTTGGGCTTCTCGGCTTTTGTGCCCAGACCTTCCAAAATCCCTTAATTAAGGAATAGACCTTAAATTATAGTAGGATCCCTAATATCATTTAAGGTATATTCCTTAATTAAGGGCTTTTGGAAGGTCTGGGTGGTTTAGGGCGTTCAGGGTTTGGGGGCTTATAAAGTTGCGGCCCCCGAAGCTATCAAACTGCCATCCACATAAGAGTGGTCCCTAGGCTAGAGGGCCTCCTTGAAGCCGGAACTAGGGGTCGATTTCAACACTTCCCCAAACATTAAAGCCCTTTACTACACAACAAGGGAGCTGAAACAATTGTCCCAAATCCATACCTATAGCAAGTTAGTCAAGCAAAGGTGCCAAGAATGATAGAGAGGTAGCCACAATATGACGTCAGGACACTTGAAGCTGAGGTCTACCCCCGAACAAAAACAAAAAACAATGTACCACAGAAGTACCTACTTGACCAGAAAATTTCATGAAGCCCTAAACCCTAGACCACTCCTTAAATGAAATGCTTCAGATCTATTCCTTATGCCAGAATCCTGAGAAAAGCACGTGAAAACCAACCCAAGGTTAAGATATCACAGAACCCTCTCCTTGAGCAAGCCAATATCATAGGGATCCTTAGGGGTGTAGGGGGAGGGGGGGTAGGGGGCCTTAAGGCCCATAATAAGGACTAATAAGGCCTATGCCTATTTAAGGAAATATAGTCCCCTACACCCCTCCCCCCTACACCCCTAAGGATCCCTATGACAATAAGTCTGGGAACCCCCCCAAACCTTAAGAATAGGGTTTTGGGGGAACCATGATGCTATACTTACAATAAGGAACCCCCAGAAAATAATACTGGTAATTACTGAGGCCTCTTTATGGGGGCACCCTTTTCTAAAACCGGCAGGTCTTGGGCCCTGTCAGCTGTTGCTGTTTGCAGAGCTCGGGTCAGCGGAGAGGCGGCGACAATATCAACCTAGGCTGTGGAGCCTTGGGGGTTTGGAGGACTAAACCCTAAGCTTTAGCCAGCAATTGTGGTTTAGATGCTTTCCTTGTCGTTTACATAGGGATTTGTGGAAGCCCCGAAACCACCGGCAAAGGAAAGGGAAATCCATGTTTAGGGATTTGTGGTGCTCCAAATCTTTTGTCTGGGGATTTCGAAAACCCTAAACCCTAAACCCTAAACCCTAAACCCTAAACCCTAAACCCTAAACCCTAAACCCTAAACCCTAGATCCACTTGCTAGGTTGGCCCTGTAAAGCCTCACAAGCTCTTCGCACATAAGACAATACGGCTGATGATATAAATCCCGCATTACCTTAAGGACCCTAGACTATGGGAATTATGGTATATTCCTCATATAAATCCTGCATTACCTTAAGGACCCTAAACTATGGGAATTATGGTATATTCCTCATTATGGGTAATGCAAGATTTATATCATCAACCGTATCCTGTATGCCTGCCTAGCTTGTCGGTTGAGGGGATGCAATATAGGGGCCTTCAAAAATAAAATTAGGGTTTTGGGGCCCATTATGCTATACCTACAATAATGAACCCCCTAAATAGTAAGGCTCCGAAAAAGATACACTATAACAGTAATAAGGACCCCCCCGTAAAGAGTAAGGCTCCGAAAAAGAACGTCAGTAAACGGGCAACCTGGCAACCTCGACTTTGGCAGATCCTGGGTGAAGCTAGGGTTTTACTTCCTGGATATCCATGGGATAAAGTGTACGAAGCTTCGGGTTAAGGGTTTAGGGTATAGGGCTTAGGGTTTAGGGGTTTAGGGGTCAGGGTTCGTAGGGTTTAGAAATATGACTAAACTATAAGAGGCCCAACAGTTGAAAAGCTTGGTTTTGGACCAACAGTGCTCTGGGGCGAGGGTAGTGGCCCAGTCCGATGCGTAGGCGGAGAATTTAGACCAAGCATAGCCGACCCCAGTGGCTCGGCTGCCCTGGGACAAGCTGTTCAGGATGGCTGGGAGATCGCTCAGCCCCCGGCCATAGTGTTCAATGTCATCCACATAGCATCACCATGCAGTCTTCCCACACATAGGCCAACAGGTACGCACTGGGACGTGCCGGATTCGTAGCATCCGAAGTGTTCTTCGACCGCGTCGTATCGTCGGCAGTCATGACCTCCTCGTCGTTGAAGACCTCTCGCCCTGATCACTGAGCAAATGCTGTATCGCCGCACGATCCACCCTTGTGTTGCACGATCTTGTCCCACCATGTGATGTCGCTAGGCCGCCAGGGGTTGCTTCACTGGCCAACCCCACCCGTGAGCACCAAACCCTAAAGCACAAATCCTCAACACCGAAGACATAAACCTCGACCCTGAGCCCTAAATTCCCTAAACCCTACATACTACACCCTGAACCGCCTGAGTGGCTGTGGAAGGCTTGGATCACCAATTTCTGTTTGGATGGATCAGGTAGGGGCTGAAACTTTCAAATGAAACGGATGCCGAGCTTGGGAGCCGTGGCACCACAAAGACTGTCAATTCATTAGAGGACGCGTCCAGACAGTCTGTCAGCGTCTGCAATCTGATCCCCAAGCTCTGAAGGCTGCTGCAAGCATACACCACACACTAAAATTGTTTCCACCCATATACAACTCTACAAAAACATTGTAAGTCCTTACAAATAATTGCCCTATACTTCAAGAACTGTCCTAATGAAGGCCCTGAAACCCTAAAACCCTCAACTCTAAGATTCGATTGCGCGGCTTTGGGCACTGAAGCACGGAGGGCTCGCGCCTGCAGCGATAGCGGGGAGTGCTTGGGATCGGGAGCAGGGTTCAGGGTTTAAGGATTTAGGGTTGAGGGTTTAAGGGTTTAGGGCGATTATAGGGCTTAGACTTTAGGTTCGAGGCTTAACGGTTCAAATTTTTAATTTTGGATGTTTAGTGTTTAGGGCTGAGGGTCCAGCGTTTAGTGTGTAAGGCTTAGGGACTGGGGGCTGAAGCTTCAGGATGCAGGGTTTAGGATTTGAGGATTCCCTAAGGGATCTTTTGGGTTCCTTTGAGGGATCTATAAGGGTTTATGTAAGGGATCTATAGGAGTTCGATAAAGGGCTTAGGGTTTAAAGTTTCCGAATATGAGGGGTACCTTAGGGTTCCTTTAAAGGGTCACTATAAGGGTTCCTTAAAGGGTTTAGGATTTGAGGATTCCGGGTTGGTGCAGGTGGGCAAAGCCGAGGTTAGGGCGTAGGATGGATTTACATAAAGGGAACTCCAGAAAGTTGGAATATGGATTAATGGTAGGATCCCCTATGATTTACCTTAAAGGGGTTACGATAATGATATTCCAACTTTCTGGCTTCTACTGTAGGGTTTGAGGATGGCTTGGGTTCAGGATAGTAAGTAATTAGTAACGTGGGTAACCTCCGGGCTTGGAGCCTTCCTTCGGGGGCTTCGGGGGTATTGGGAAGTCGTTAGTCGTTAGTTTAGGGTTTAGGGTTTAGGGTTTAGGGTTTAGGGTTTAGGGTTTAGGGTTTAGGGTTTAGGGTAGAGAGGCACAGAAAAGGAAAAGGTACCGGAACCCCCAAGAGGATCCCACTTACACCACTCCTAGCTCTAGTTACTACCTACTTACCATGTCCCTCTGGGGTCCACAGAGTCTACCGCGTCTGCTGCTTGCTTCGGGATAGACAAAGAGGGATACTGAACAAGTATACAGTGCTCCTTTTTCTGACCTCGGTCTAACATGCAGGTCTGAAAAATAGTCATAACATCCGCTTCGCGTCCCACTTCGATATACCCACGAAGCCATCTGCCTAGCATTCAAACCCTTAACCCTAAACCTTAAACTCTAAACTCTACATTAAATGGCTCCCTTCACGAGAGCTGAGCCAAACGACGGGCCTGCTCCAGCCCCTTCTCAGATAAGCGCGAGTCGAAGTATTGCATGTCCTTGCTCAGGCTTCTTGGGGATGTCTGGGGCTGGGGTTTACTTGGAACATCATGGGACTTACTAAGTATGGTTATAAGTTATAAGTACCTTTATTGGGGTTATAAGTAGTTATAAGCACAGTTACCCTAATAATAACCTTAGTTACTAAGTCCCATGATCCTTTAAGTAGGGTTTAGGGTTTAAGAGTTAAGGGTTCAAGGCTTGGGGTACTTTGGATTTAGGCTTTGAGGTCTGTTGGTGGAGGACCGGTAGTTCACGCCAAGACTTGTGGTGCCTAGTCCGGGAGCTGGTAGACTTAGCCTAAACCCTTGCTTTTGATTGTTCTAGCTGTGGAGGAGTAGCTCCAAATACAATAGGAAGACAGGGGACTACTAGGTACTGCTTGGGAACTGAGCCGTGTTCGTTTCAAGCTTCAAAAGGCGTGGATATCCATAGCCGTACGTGTAGCATAAGCAGAAGAACCTGTCCGGCTTCCTACAGGAACTAAGCAAAGTAACTTTTTGCGCGACCTTCTAGGAGTCCTTGGGATGTCCCGGAGATATCCTAGAGGACCCTAGCCAACCATACACCTCAAGACTCGAAAACATCAGTGTCGGTCAGTACACGCTGAACCTCGCAAAATGCCTACTCGCTTGACACTCCGAACTCCCGAAACCCTCAACTGGGCGCTTAAGCATAAGGACCTCCCATGGAGGGGTTTCTGGAAACCGCTTCACGAGGGCTTGTTTGATGGCCCAACTTTCCCCAAGTGCCTGTCGCACGGCCTTCTTGCGCGGATCGTCCTCAGCCATCCGGCGGTCTTTGATGCATTAGGTTCAGGGCTTAAGCTTCATCTGCAGGGTCCTAAGCAAGCACCCCTGTGTATTCCTATAAACACCTCTAAAGATACATATACATGCTAAAATACACCTGAGCAAAAACAAATATATATATATATATATATATATGTATATATCCATGCAGGCGCAATCCTGCGTCAAAAGGCTGAACCCGGGTTTAGGGATTAAGGGAGTCAGGGTTTAAGGATTTAGGGTTGAAATGTTGAAGGTCTGCGGCTTAAGGTTGATATTGGAGCCTACGTATTTTGTACAAACATCCCGCCATCGTTCGTATATATACTTACACGCCAATGTCCACGAAAACACTCGTCCAATTATTAAGGTCCCCGTAGTTTCGACGGTAGCTGCAAGCAATGGTTGGCAGGTTGATGCGGGATTCGTTTTTCCAAGACCGGACCCTCACCTAAACCGAAAGAGCATCTCCAGCTGATGGTTCGGAAGGTGCACCTCGCATTTGGAACGCATGTGATGCCCGCAGGCTATGTCGAGTTCGTTGATGACGATTTCTTCACATAGAAGACTCCTCCGACACCATCCCCGTTTGTGATCGGCGGCGAACGAAATGCATGGCCACATCTACCCGCTCCGTGCCCACTTTGTGCACGATCGGGCCTGCACGGAGCTGCAGCGACGATGGTCGGCGCTTGCTGTGGTCCGAGTCCTGTTCCCATCATTCACGGACGCTGGTCCCAGTCAACACTGCGCTAGGGCTCATTGCGCAACCTGCAGGCCAAAACCCTGTAAACCCTTAAACCACCTTGTTAACAAAATCTCACTCAATGCCAGACCCTGAAAAAAAAGACCCTGAACCCTACACGACCCTCCCCGAAATTCCACCTCCAGCCGCAAACCAAACGGCAGGTTGTAGAGGTTGTTATAGGGTTTAGGGTTTAGGGTTTAGGGTTATGCCAATCAGTTCGGGTTAGGGTACAGTCGCCACAGCGAAACCTTCCACCACCAACCTTCTAAGCCCTACAAGAACTCTTAAATGTAAAAATATCCTAAGCACCCTGATGCTGAATGAATCCTTACAGATGGAGTTTATCGAAACCTAAACTCCTTCTAGACACGTTAGGGCCCAAGAGGCCTTTGCAAAGACGCGGCCTGCAGCGTTGACCAGAGCCTTCGCCGGTGAGCAGCTATCAGGGGTTTGCCAAGAAAAAACCCTAGCATTTAGGGTACAGGCCCAACTAATTACCATCATGGTTTATGTAGGGTTTAGCGGCCCAACCACTTACCATCATGGTTAAGGGTTTAAGGTTGAGGCCTCTCCTTGTTTAGTGTCTAGAGTATAGGCCCAACTACCAAGGTGTCAGTGCTTTGCAAAGGCTTGAAGGGGTTCTTGACTTCTCAAGGCGCTCTCTGTACACATGTAATATATATATATATATATATACATATATATATATGTTTATACATAGATGTGTATATGTATATGTATATATATATATATATATATGGTACCCCCCCCAAAGACCAAGGTTTCTGTATGAGCTTTAGATACAAACCTACTTACACTAGCCGATAGTCGTTGGTCTTTGAGGGGCCAGGGGGCCAATAACAACCCTGCTAAGGTGTAGGGACAAACATGCATGACACAACCCCCTTGTGGTTTTCATACAAGCCTGCATACAATAATCCTTATAGCTTTTCCTGTCGCACATTCCAGGAGGCCTACTGAATTCAATAGGCCCTATTGAATTCAATAGGCCTTCTGGATTGAAGGTTGAAGATGCCCTCGAAAAGTTTCCTGTGAGATCTTCAATCTTCAATCCGGGAGGCCTATTGAGTTCAATATGCCCTATTGAACTCAATAGGGTTTATCTTGAAATCGATCATGAGGGCCGTACGTGGAAGTGTGAAAATTGGGTTCAGGGGTCAAAGTCTACCGCTGCGTTTGCGTACTTTTGGAGTACACGCATATGGGCTTTAAGGGCTATGAAGAGAAAGTCATCAACTAGACGTATGATACTACCTTTAAGCTTCCCTAAACGTACTCTTTTGAATTACGCCCAGCTTAAATTCAAACAACACTACTAGTTTTATGCAGCAAATGCAGTTGGAATACTAAGAATATAATCGAGGGCTCAATCTATCGAACTGTATACTACTGAGGTATCAACAGCACATACTTTAACATCCATGTAGCTAGCAATCTATGCATGAATGCATATGTTCGATTCAATTATTGGAAAGACTACTAAATGCACCGTATTATTATAATACTTAGAACTGATTTGACATAGGTAAATAAACACTCCGCCTAAATAGGTCCGAGGATCTGGCCTATCCAGCTGTTTGCGTACTTGTGACAATAATATTCTACAGCTATATACTGAGCTACATCTTCATATAAGTATAACGTTGTCCCTACAGGCACTACTGTGAATATATTGCTTTCTGAGTTCTAATTAATCAGCAGACAGCAAACCCTCTATGCTATTCTTATATATACATCTGACGATTCTTAGCTCAGCAAGCCCTGTGTTTGAATTGATCCGAGGATTCATATCAATCTAACCAATCATCTAAATAATAACATACAGAAAGATATTGTTTCTGCAGTCAGTAATCCGTATAAGAATGTCCTTGTCCCTGGGTGTAGTGATATCATATGAAGCATTATAGATATAGTTTTCTGTCTGTTCGTGTTAACTGGCAAAACACTTCATGAATAGCTTAGTTGTAGAGAGATCTTCAGGCTGTTTGGCTCCTATTCAAAACTAGAGCTTCCAAGGTTCTACTATACTGCTTCTATTAAGCAGCTATCTGGGTAAATCGCAACAAGGAATCTCAAGCCATATTATTAGCCATTAGCAGTTGACAGACCCTGTAAATTCGATTGTATAGCCAATTGCTGAGTACTTAACCTTATTTTTCCAAGAATGAAATGGCGCATGCTAAATGGTAGCACTGAGATCTTTTACTCAATAGGCATGTTTAAGCTATAAGACTATATGCTTGATATCTCAAACATATAGTCTAAGAATACATGTCTTTGTAGGGCCACGTCTGTAGTAATTAACAAACCCCGGAAGTTCAATTCTATATTCCGCTGGCAAATAGTTAACCTTTTCTTTGCGCATACAATAAATGGTACACATTAAACGATGGCATCGAGGTACTATGCTTGGTAGTTGTTTTTAAACGTTACAAGTAGCTTGATTTCTTAAAACCAATAGTATAAGAATAAATGTGTTTGTGGAGTTGACCACATACTACAACTGAAGCTAATAAAGCACACGGCATGGGGCGAGTTTTCCATACGAAGTAAGCCGTCAACAGAATATGTCACTTGAATGGAAAGCGTTTTGGTCGTGATCGCGCTTAGAATGGCTCTAGGCGAGAAAACCAAAAAACAATACCAACAAAAAAAACAAAAAACAATACCACCTAAAACAAAAAAACACTACCACAAAAGCATCATTTCAGTACTCTTCCAGAATAGCATTAGAATTATATATTAATGGGAGTACCCACCAATGTTCTTATCTGAAAACCTTGGTCTTTGGGGGGGGGGGGGTAGCATATATATGGTGCCGCGTCGCCGCGTCGCAGGCCCCCCCCCCCCCACCCCCCATGGTATGCCCCCCCGCCCCCCCCCGAAGCCAGGCGTCTCGTCCCATCAGGCCAAACAGTCACACGTCATCCGCGTAACTCCCCCCCAAGCCAGGCCTGCCCTCTCGCCACGGCAGGGGCGGGAGGGAAAATCCACAACAGTGGAACAGTGGAACCACAAGACGGCGAACCACAGGGGTGGGGTGGGGAAGGATAATCCACACAGGGAACCACCGGGCGCCTTCCCTTCCCCTCTCTTCGAATACAAATGAGAATGTTGCGCACAATGATGTTGATGTGCTAGTCCCAGTGTGGCTGTTGGTGGTACCTTTACTCTTATGTTGCTCCGGGCTTCGGCACCGCATGTTCATTGCTTTATCTAGTTAAAACCGTGCTTGGCTTGTGATGTTCTTGCGAAAACTGGATCGACCGTTGTCATTCCAAGCCAAGTTACGGTTGGGTTCGCTACAAGTAAGCTTGAGCACGTGTTTGAATGGTTTTCATTCGGGACTTTTGAGCAAGGGACCGGAGGAGAGTGCGGATGGGGATCATGACCACCATCTTCGACATCATCATCACCATCATATTCATCACCATCATTGGCTTTGGAGCTCAGGGCAGGTCGGAGTTCAATAGACCTGTATCACATCCTACGGTCATGGACGGGGGCTTAGCCGACCGCAACCAAGGGGCAGGGGGGGAACCCACACCACAGGGAACCACAGGGGGGGAGGGGGGTATACCATGGGGTGGGGCGGGAGGGGGGGGCCTAGCAGCGCTGCACCATATATATATATATATATATATATATATATATATACAGATGTAAATACATACATACACAGCACGAGAAAGAAAGGTGTTTATGTGATGTAGGCTTCAGAATATGTCAAGGATCAGGGGACACCGGAGGTGTCTTGTAAGTTCTATCAACACACTTATACACGGCCTGACGGGGGCTATCTTGATCTGAGCCCGGCTTGCAATCCACCGACAACCTTTGAGTCAAGATGTTCGGGGCCAGGGTGCTGGGCTGCCGGGGGGGGGTGGGGGGGGGGGAATTCTTTTCCTGGTTTTTGCATGGTACATAGTGACGTAGCTATCAAGTGGATGTCAACCTCAGCTATCCATGTACCCCTTTGCTAAGCTTAGCTTCCTGGCTTGCAGTCGGATTCAAAGCTGGGAGATCATACCTTAACGGTACTACTTACAAGGACGAAAATTACGTATGTTCAACCTCCAAGAACCTCTAAGTACAGTGTCAGATCCTTCGCCGCAGATCTAACTATGATCTAACCTTAACGGCTTAAAACGACGGCCCATAACCTTATGCGAACGCTGAAGGTTCTACATAGTTAGCCCCAGTATCCAGCTTGACCCATGGGGCCCTGCATTAGTCGGGCCCTCATCGGTTTCATTCAACTCATGCTTGGATAGGACCCTGATGAACTAAAACAAAAAACGATAGACATATATATATATATATATATATATATATATATACATATATATGTACATGCACCATAATCCACAGGAGAGTGTGTATATGTATATGTATATATATATATATATATGCGCACACACTCTTAATTATTTGTACTTGAAAAAGTATATGTGCGCAAGTGTACACACACACACGACAACTTCAACCTGGGCGAAAACCTGAAACGTAAAGACGCGGAGCCCTAAACTGGAGAATGAAATTAGAAGCGAGCTGTGGGAGCTATGTTAATCCAATTCCCCTAAATCCTAAACCCAAGGGAATACGATGGGAAATCATTGCGGCTTCCATATATTATGGGCAGGCGTCGACCTTGCCTGCCCAATGCATTGAGAAAGGGCGTGAGGCCCCAACAATACTCGCAACCCAGTGCGAATTTGTTTTGGTGAAAATTCACGAAAGACAACCGGCCAATTTCTCGGTATAAAAACAATTGTGAGCTCGATGATGCCGTAAACGAACGAGGAACGGACACATAGACATATATCTATCTACCTACCGATCGATCTATCCATCTATAGTCGATACCGATATCTGTACATACCCCTTTCATGTGTCTACGCAAACTATTTGCGAGCCCACTGAAGGCCCCTAAACCCTAAACCCAAAGCCCTAAAACGCCTTAAACCCCAAATCCCAAAGCTTCATCCCTAACCCCAAAGCCCTAAACCCCTAAACCCTGAACCCCTAAACCCAAAGCCCTAACCTAACACCCTACCTGTAGCCGAAAAGACCTACCTTTTTAAGGAGCTATATATCGAAACCACAATAAGGAAACCTAAAGAGGTAGGTCTTTCCGGCTACAGGTAAGCCCTACTTGGAGGATCATGGGACTTAGTAACTAGGGTTATAAGTAAGGCAACTATAGTTATAATTACTTATAACCCCAATTAGGGTACCTATAACCCTAGTTACTAGGTCCCATGATCCTCCCAAGTAGACCCTAAACCCTAAACTAAACCCTATAGATCCCTTGAAGGAACCCTAACCCTATAGATCCCTTTAAGGAGCCCTTTAAGAAGCCTTACTAAGTCCCATGACCCTCCAAGTACCCCACCTCTCCGTGGCGGATGAAGTACACCCACTTCCGACCTCGGAGTCGCTACTTGGAGGATCAGGGGACTTAGTAAGGGTTCTTAAAGGGCTCCTTAAAGGGATCTATAGAGGGTACTATAAGGGTTTAGGGTTTAGGGTCTACTACTTGGAGGATCTAGTAGGCAAGGTTACAAGGGTTCTATGCCAAAAGGGCTCCATTAAGGGTCCTTTAAATTAAAAGGGCTCTTTATGGGTTTAGGGTTTAAGGTTTGGGGTTTAGGCTAGGTGCCGTATTATATCAGGGACCCCAAAATGGATCCTAATGTTGACAACTACCCATGTACTGCCACTGCAAAGCTCAGGGTCGGAGGCTTTAGGGTTCAGGGAGCCATAGAGCAAGGGTTACTTGGAGGATCAGGGGACTTAGTAAGGGTTCTTAAAGGGCTCCTTAAAGGGATCTATAGGGTTGGGGTTCCTTAAAGGGATCTATAGGGTTTAGTTTGTTAGGGTTTGGGTCTACTTGGAGGATCAGGGGACTTAGTAAGTAAGGTTATAAGTACCCTGATTGCGGTTATAAGTAATAATAACTGTAGTTACCCTAATAGTTGGCTGGGATGTGGACGGCGTCCAGGTCGAGTAGCTTCAAACCCGGCCGCCAGTGTTGGTCCTGCCGGGCAGGATCTCGGATGTAGAGCTCATGGGGGCTCAGATGGTAATGGGCTCAGGGTTTAAGGTTTAGGGGTAGAGCATAAAACTTTTACCATAAAACGGCCCCGCTAAAGGCAGCGTGAGGTCAATGTATATACTGGGCCCTTAAGGTAACGTGGACTCCTGATTAACCCACCCAGCCTAATAGTAGTAACGATGACACCAGGAATCCGATACACAACATTTCAGAATTGAGATGTGCTAGTAAAGAACGGGTATAAGTTCAAGGTTTAGGGTTTTGAGCCGGGTCACCATTCATTGATCCGCGAGCACCTATGCATTGATCTAATGATTTGGGATCGAGGGAACTTTCAGGTTGTCAGTATGTCTTGCTGAAGCCTTCTGGGACATTATGGGTGACTGTAACCCTAAGGCTCAAAATAGCCCAAAAGCCTGATATAGTATGGTCTTTGGGCTCAAAAGCCTTAAAATATGAGTCCTTAGATCCCTAAACCCTTAACCCTATAGATCCCTTTAAAGGACCCCTATATAGATCCCTTTAAAGGAACCCTATATGAGCGCTTAGAGCCGAAAATGGGAGACCGTCGAAAGCATGAACGCAGTTTCCCCAGGCCTCTTCATCTCTGACACCTTGCACGCTAAACCCTGCTTGGAGAATCAAGGGACTTAGCAAGTAAGGTTATAAGTACCCTAATTGGGGTTATAAGGAATTATAAGTACAGTTGCCTTATTTATAACACTATAGTTACTATTTCACATGATCCTTTGAGTGCTAACTCCAAAGCATGCACCCTAAAACTGCGAACCTGCTAAGTCTACACTGAGCAGACTGGTCTCTTAAGTGCCCAAAAGACACAGCCTGAACATGTACCTCAAGGATCTCAGACCTTCCAAAACCCCTTAATTAAGGAATATACCTTAAATCATATTAAGGGTCCTACTCTAAGTTACGGGGTGTATTCCTTGATTAATGGGTTTTGGAAGGTCTGGGATCATGGGACTTAGTAACTAGGGTTATAAAGAAGGTAACTATACTCATAATTACTTATAGCCCCAATTAGGGTACTTGTAACCTTACTTACTAAGTCCCCTGATCCTCCAAGTATCACTACACTTTATGTTGGCACAGAACTGTAACAGGATCACATCTATAATGCAATAATCTTGACTAACTGCAGTACATTCCCAGAACCCTTAACCCTGAAGGTCTACACCACTAAACTCCAATCTCTCAACACCCCAGATCTGTACAGAACATGAGAGTAGTTATTTAAAGTAGGGTCCCTTTTAGGGTCCTTGTTATATGACTACCGCAATTTGGGACTTAAAACGGGACACTGATTTCGAGAGCTACCCTAAACCCTAAACCCGATACCCTGAACCCTAATGCCGAAACCCCTACACCCTAAAACCCTAAACCCTAAAATCCCCAAACCCTAAAACCCCCAAACCCCAACCTTCACCCTAGGCCCTAAACCCTAAACCCCTAAACCCCTAAACCCTAAACCCGAAACCCCTGAACCCCAAAAACCATGAAACCCTAAAACCCCCAAACCCCAACCTTCAGTCCAAGGGTAAGAGGAGGGACTCTTACTAAGGACCCCTAGGTATATACCCATTATATGGCTATTATATACCCAGTATATGGCCCATTATAGGGTAGGCTTCCCCATTAAGGATCCCTCCTTTTCCCCTTTGATACACCCTAAACCCTAAACCCTTTAGAGAATCCTTATAGATCCCGTTAAGGAACCCTATATAAGGGTCCCCTTTGATACACCCTAAACCCCAACCTTCAGTCCTGAAGACCTGGGCAAAGCAGTATCTTGGCGACCTTGCCAGCTCTTCCCTTGCGGCCTCGGCGGCGGAGGAGCGTTTCCGCAAATAGGGGACCCTAATATAGCACCCTAAATAGTAGGATTCTTAACCCTGAAAGTCCAAGTACTCCCTATTATAGGACTTTGGGTCCATTTTGGGTACCAAAAGCCATAAAGAAGGACTACTTGGACCCTTAGGCTACTCTTAGGGCAAGATAAGTAAATACCCCCCTAATTTTCGGAAACTCCCAAATGGACTTAGAGATTTCATCCCCCAAAACCTGCCACCATACCGAGAATCCTTCGACCTCAACGCCCGCATGTCCGAACACGCTAAACTTCAAGCAATATTCTCTGAGACATTAGGGTTTAGGGCTTAGTTTTTTTTTTGAGGGCTTAGGGTTTGGGGGTTTGGGGTTTAGGGCTTAGGGTTTTTCATGAAGGGCTTAGGGTTTAGGGATTTGGGGTTGAATAAACTTTACCCTAATAGCAACGGCAAGACAAGACCTCGAGGCCTTTGGGGGCTTACGATTAAGGGTGTCATGTAAAGGCCTAATTTTGGGGGGCACCTTGTACTTGAAATATTGTAGTGATTAGAAGAGCATCATTTGTTCTGATTATTCCGACCCCTATATTAGCATTGCTCATCTGGGTGCGTGCAGCATGGTTTAGTGCAATGTAGGACCCACAACGCTCAGAATAGGGTTTTGGGGCATAGTCGTTCTAATGTAGCATGTTCATGTGGGAGGCTGTCAAACTTCAGGCCCCCCTTTTGGGTTACCCTACTAAATAATAGGTGCCGTATTATAATACCAAAAAGGGGACCCTAATTTTGACAACCACCCATGTAGGGACTGCACTGATGCACGGGAGCACTGTCTAAAAATATTGAAGCTCCCATACGTGGGCCCCAGATCCTCTAGTTTACATCCCTAGCTACGGAGACCCCAAACCCTAAACCGTAAACCCTAAACCGTTATGGGAGTTTCCGGAAATTAGGGGTACCTTATTTGGGGGTCCTTATAACAAGGATCCTACTATTTAGGGTCCCCTGTTTTCGGAAACTCCCATATGTACCCCTATAGATCCCTGCAGGGGAGGCTTATAACCCCTAACTTACTAAGTCACACGATCCTCTAAGTAGACGATAGCAAGATGGAGATCTACGATGGTAGTATTTTCCAGTTAGTCAGAAACTGGCTTGCATTCTTCTCGAAACAAAGACCCCTAAACCCTAAAACCGAAACCCAAACCCAAAGCCCTGAACCCCAAAAGCCCTTCAACTAAACACATAACCACAACCCAAGGGCTTGTAAGGACGTGGCGATCGCCAGAGAGCCTCCAGCCAAGTTTCGCTTGGATTTAGCTAGGGCTTTGGTTGAGGGTTCACAGTTTATGAGGGTTCAGGGTTTCGGCTTTCAGGGTTGTTTGTCAAGGCTTCAGGGTGGTGCCCGGGTTCGGGTTTTCTCAGGGTTGTGACGGTGGCTAGGGTGTGGGGGAACTAAACGTTGATCCTTGTGGAGTGGCATAGAACAAGGGCTATACTACCCATAACGACTGGACAAACTCAACTACTTCGGTTTAGGAGCCGGAAGTACGAGGCGTTAAGGAGTGCCCCACAAATGACAAAACCCTGCTAGCCCGAGCCGCAAAGCCTAAACAGCTAAACCCCGAAGGCCGTTTGGTGTTCAGAGCAGGCCTTTAGGGTTTAGGGTTTAGGGTTAGGCCCCCGGAACCCAAGAACCTGACCCCTTTTTGGACCCTCCATGCTCATCAAATCTAGGGCACCTACGGGCTGAGTTCGGTGTTAACCCCAAGGGTCCAAGTACCTAATAATCATATACACACCAAAATCCTAACCTACATAACTACTATCCTCTTGCTGAGTACCTAATAATTGGGTTCTTTGGACCCTTGGGGTTAATCACAAAGGCTCAGCAACCTAAACTCTGCTTCTTCGTTCTTGATACCAGAGGTCCTAGCGAAGCTGAGCGAGGTCGCTCGCGCAGGTCGTGCCAATGGGCTGTCGACTTTTGATTGTCGCCAACACACAAGGACACCAAAACAAGACCTATATAAACCGTAAATCTAACAATCTAACCCCAAAGCCCTAAACCCGAGACTCTCTCCAAGCTCTCGGAACGGACAAGGCCTGCGCTGCTAGGAGCGTGATGGAGGTGCCCAGCCAGTTTCCTGGATACAAAAAAAGTCTCAGGGTTCGGGGCTCCAGAGCTCAAGAGTTTAGGGCTTCGAATTACCAACCTTTCAAGGGCTCCTTATTGTCCTCAATTCCAAAGAAAAAGGCCTGAAGCAAATAAGTTCTTCAGGGTCCAAGATAGGGGTTGGTGCATTCGAGCTTCAGAGCGAAGGGCATCAGGGTTTTAGCCTTTCATGTAGGCTTAGAGTTGGGGTTTAGAATTCCCATGGTTCAACTCAAAAATGCGCCACCGTCGAAACAAGAAACCAGGAACAAGGGTCATGTAGACGCCTGACTAACAAATCTGTTCTTTTTAAGAGCCTAGAAGGCTACACTCTAAACACTATGGCAATCCTTGTAATTCAGGGGTCTACACGTCTACGTCACTACTTGGGTGGTTGTCAAAATTATGGTCCCTGTTTGGGCCCTTATATAGTACGGCACCTAATATTTAGGGTACTTAAAAAGGGACCATAGTTTTGACAACCACCCCCTTGGAAACCAAAGTTTCCGAGCCCGGGTTCAGGATCGAGAGGATGATATAAGGGCCTTGATGCTTAGAATAGGGTTTCAAGGGTCCTGAAGGGGATCCTTGAAAGGTTCTACAATGTTGCATAGGCTTCTTTTGCAAGCGCTTCATAGGATTTTTGGGCAGATTAAACCAGTTTACTTAAACTAGTTATACTATTGACAAGGAGCTTTAGGGAAATAGTCCTTCATCGGGCAAGCTGGCATGGGGCATGTGCCGAAAGCGGTAATCATCACATGCTACATCGCGCCCTTCACAGATCAAGCTGTGAGCAAGGACTGCTGATCAAGGCACCATGGGCATCACCAAGTGACGTGACCGCTGACACACACGAAAGATTGGCGCTACTTCGAGCGTTTTTGCTTTCTTGGTCTCCATGGCCGTGGCCTTTTGTCAGCCCGTGCAAGTTGATCGGCGCTATAACAGCAAACACACACACACACACACAGAGCTTCGTGCATTCAGGCTTCCCCGCCTAAATCCGCAGTGTGTGGATTTCAGTGGTTGCTTTAGTTTGATGGAAAGTTTCGGGCTGTTGCAGTCTAAATCGTAGTCTTAAACCCTAAACCCTAAACCGCAGGGAGACCTGGGTAACAGGATTGAAGTTCAACGAGAACGTTTTCCTGTAATTCCACAACCATGCACCCTAAACTACATGAACGATCTAGGACTTTGGGTTTAATTGGCAAAGCTGTATCGTAACCCTGCTAGAACACTTGTAGTCCCTTTGAAGGCAGCCTCCCCCTCGCCTCGCAATCTGCACCTTGTCCGAGGAAGATTTCAAAGGGACTCTTACAAAGGCTCCTCAAAAACGCTGCAATGCCCCCATAAGACATAAGAAGAAAACCAAGTCCTAAATATGCTAAACCACAAAAGCTAAACCCTCGAAAGGAACCCCCTTCGAGGAACCCTAAAATGGCCTAAACAATCCAAAGGAAGCGTAAAAGCCGTTAAAGAAGGCCTAAACCTTTAAACTAAACCCTAAGAAGCCTTTAAAGAAACCGTAACACCCCTTTACACTAAACCCTCAGAAGCCTTTAACAAAACCGTAAAACCCTTTTGAACTAAACCCAAATTAAACCCTAAACCGTTATAGTACCCCTCTAGATCCCTTAAGGGGACGCTTATAACCCTTACTTACTAAGTCTCACGAGAGAAACCCGAAGTCTCCTGAGCCGCTATGCGGGGCGGTCTGGAACTTGCGATGAGGCGGGGAAGCCTTGCAGCGCCCCCCCCTTTTTAGGGCACCGTAGGGTCCAAGAAAGGGTCGAGGGTTCAGGGTTTACTTGGAGGATCGTGGGACTTACTAAGTATGGTTATGAGTACCTTAATTGGGGTTATAAGTAGTTATAAGTATAGTTACCCTTATAATAACCTTAGTTACTAAGTCCCATGATCCTTCAAGTAGGGTTTGTCAGGGTTCCATTACCAGGGCGCCCTCCAAGCTAAGTAAGAAGGGTTTGAAGGTAAGGGAGTCTCGCAAGGCAGGTTATACATGAGTTGCAAGCGCCGTCTCGGTCGAACCCTGCCCTAAACTCTCGTCCTAAGACCTGCAAAGGCTAGTGTCTCAACTCTGAACCCAGCACAGTGAAGGGAACTCTGCAAACCCAAGGCCCGAATCCAAGGCCGAGTTCATCAAAGCCTTCGAAGAACGATAAACAAGTTGGTCCTCATTCAGAATACATATGCTGAATGTGTTGGTACACAACTATTCTTCCCGACGCGGCCAGGAAACCACTAAACCCTGAAGCTTGAGTCGAGCCCGTGTTTATAGGTCATGGCCTGGCACGGCGACCAGTGGCTAATTGTGTGCAGCAACGCAGTCGGCGCAGGAAGCATACTTGCCAGCATTCGTAAACTAAAGAACAGTCGTAACATAATTGTCCATACCATTATGGCTTAGACGGTTTGCTCAAAAACCATCTCTCGAGACAAACACGTCTCCGTATACTGGTCTGGATGCAAGGAAGTCATGGCTTCTACTTGAAGGTGCGCCGGGCTTATGGAAGCAGGTACTCATCCCTAAGGCTCCATGTACCCATATAGTAGGTACTTAGGCCTTAAAGAGGTCCCTATATAGGTACTTTAAGGCCTAAGCACCTACTATATGGGTAGTAGTGCAGGGGCCTCGACAGTTGGAATAGGGTTTCGGGGCCTATTTCACTATAACTCTAATAAGGAACCCCCCCAAAGTAGTATACGTAAGCATTAAGGCTTCTACAGCGCTCATTGTGTTCCGAGCTCAAGGTGGGGAGTACGAGCTTGAGCTTCTTCCGAGCTTGAGCTTCTTCAACGTATTGGCCTTGGGTCCTATGTACTGTTATGGGAGATACTTCCCTAAGTCATAATAGTAATTCCTAATATGGAAACCCTACATTCTACGATATCGGTACAGAGGACCCTTTGGGTTGGCTTTGCGGCTTTTGGCCTGGAGAGCCTCAGGCCCTGCTGGAGTGTTGTGTGACTTAACCCAAGGGTCCAAGGGTACTTGGGTTTAGGATAGTAGTTACGTAGGTTCCTATTTGGGAGAGTGTATGATTGTTAGGTACTTGGACCCTTGGGGCTATGCTTGAAAGCTGTGCCCGCAGGCAATCTTGAGCCTGCAAGACAGCTCTGAGCCGGAATAAAGATCCACAGGGTCCTCCTCTTACCCAAACCAAAATGGCGATTCCTACTACAGAAACCCTACTTGCTACTATGCACGTACTTGGGACCTTTTGGTTCCAGCATCGGGCGATTTAGTCAGCAGATTACATGCGCAATGATACCGAAGAGAAGCCCAATTCAGGCACCTAGAACACCAAATCAAAATAGCTTGTTTAACTATCTTGTGTTTTTTTGAGCTTAACTCCTCTGAATCCCTTAGAACAGTCTGTGAAGATCTCACAAAGCGTCTATGAAGAATAACAAAAGGAAATGGGGCTGAGGGTTCCTTCACAGGTAAGCAAGCACCCGTTGGAATATAGGGCCCTGAATAACTAGAATAGAGCGAGAACCCCTAGAGTGGATCGCAATAGCCGGAACTCCACGGGTCCAAGTACCTAATAATCATATACTCTCCAAAATACCAACCTGCATAACTACATACATGCTATCCTGAAACCGAACACCAGGTCATTGGGTCCTTTGGACCCTTCGGGGGACCCATAATCAACAAACACACGAAACTAAAGAAGTAGACCCTGAACCCAAGGCCCGACACCTTAGCCGTCAACAGGTTAACACAACAAGAACAATGGCCGGATAGTTTTGGGGTCCCGAAAATTAGGGTTGTGCTTTCCGGTTTAAGGCAGGGCTATGGTCCGGGGTTTCGGATACAGGCCTTAGTAACCAGAACAGGTCTATTCCGGGTCGGTTATACTACACCTGCTAAACCGATCGGGGAACTGGACGTAAAGCATAAGTAATGTGAACCCCTGACAAACACACCCCCGTCTTGAAAGGCCTTCTCATGTCTTTGCAGGTGTTGGGGTGTGAGGACTTAGAGTCAAGGGCTTCAGGGCTTATGGGCCGAACCATAGTCTTGGGCTGCGCAGTTCTATAAGGGCAGCATCACCGTTAACAGCAATTCAAGTTACCGCAAGGCTTTAGGGTTGTAGCGTCTTGTCAGGCGATTGGAATCTCAGGGCTTACTTCGGTCAGGATTGCTAGGATTGGGGGATTGGTGGGATATCCTTAACCCCAGATAACCTACCCTTTTGAGGGTTTCTGCTTATGATTCCTTCTACTGGTCCTAAAACGGTTGATTGTCGCTGCATGTCGATCAAGGCCTGGCGCTTCGTCTTCCAGTAGAGGGGGGAGAAGGTCCCGCCTTTCAACACGAGGCGCAATGGCAGGCCGGCGCAGGCATTCTTCCCGCCACCGATTCGCGACCACATGGTCAGGTCGTAGACGAACTGCAGCAACTCGAAGTCTTCGCCGTGGCCGATGATCGGGCACAGGACCTTGCGCATAAAGCTGCGCTTCACACTGTGCCGCCCCTGTCCCTCCTGGTCACCCTCCTCGTCGTCACTCAAGGCTTCGTTGCGGCCAACCGCGGCAGCCGCAGCCAGTCGCCGGGAGTCGGTGGCACGCTCCGTGGTCTCGCACATTTCGGTGCACCAATACAGCGAAGGCCACAGAGCACATTCGAGGCCGACTGTTTCGAGGAACTCGAGAGGTCGCCGGCGGTCAACTCCCTAAGCATCTATTCAGCCCTACGAAAATTTAGGGTTTAGGGCTTATAAGCTTTGTCGGGTTTATAGGGTTTAGTTAGGGTTTAGGGTTCAGGGCTTATAAGTTTTATCGGGTTTACAGGGCTTAGTTAGGGTTTAGGGTTCAGGGCTTATAGGTTTTATAGGGTTTAGGGTTTAGGGCCCGCCAAGTTGATGCCGCGAACCCTCTAAGCCCCTTTAACAAGAATGCCGCGGGGACTTGTCACCCCAGCAGCTTGAACCTGACAACTCCAAACTGAAATCCGCATAAACTGCTCGTAAGCTCTTATGAAGACTCGCCCTTGATAAGAAAAACACACAGTATGATTACACTGTAACACCCTTGAATACTCGGGTCCCTAAGCGGAGATGATCAAAGGGGGAGGGTAGTAGGCATGATCGCGGAACCTTGGGGAAGCTGAGGAAGTACGAAGGAGAGCGATTTGTGCTAATTAGGTCATACTCAGGTGTAGGGGTTTAGGACTTAAGGGAGACGATTTCTACTGATTAGGTCATGTATCCCCTTGAACCCCTTCCCTCAACGATCCCATGCTTGAATGCTTGAACCTCAGCTACCCTAAGCCCTAAACACTGAAACCCAAACCTTAGACCCTTAAGCCTTAAGCCCTAAACCCAAAATCCTTCCACTCTTGCGCACATGCTTGTTGACTCGAGATATGTCGAAACCGCCGCGGATGCACAAGTTCGTGGCTAGCGACTGGAACGCTTGCGAGACCCAGCACCGGTCATTCGAAAACCCCATAAGCCCTATGAGTTTAGACTTATGATACCCCTAAAGTTTAGACTTATCATACCCCTAAGGGTCCATGTGCCCAGGCAGTATGTACTTTCGCCCTAAACTACCTATATAGTCTGTAATTACATAGAGACTACTTACCTGAAGGCTAAATAATATACTGTCTGGGTACATGGGCCCTTAGGGATAGACAAGGATGGCGGAGTTTCAGGGTCAACTGCAGTCGATCCTACGGACGGTGAAACCTTGTTGGTTGCTACTATACCCCCCTAGAAATAATATGTTGAATATTCTCTTGGGTTTTATATGAACAAACATAAAAAAGCAATTCCTAAGGAGGCTATAGACTATAGCATAGGCGGTGATGTGCTGGCGTTGCACTGATGCTGAACTTAACTTCGGGTTTGGCACGCCACTTTCAAGCCAGGACTGAGTGACGCAAAACCTTCAACCCCAAACCATCAAATATCCCTAAACTCGTTTGGGATGATGGAAGTTCGCGGCGCGCTGGGTGTCTCGCCCGCTAGCCCGCTCGCACTGTCAATCGTCAGCCTTTACCCTCCGCCCGGGTTCAAGGCTTAGGCTTAGGACAACATCTAGGGATATCAAATTGACTTGATAATTGTAACAGATGTTTTCGGAGTATACTGTATAACCAAACATGACAAGGAAGCCTGAGGGATAACAGCATCACCTGCAACCGCCAAACCTACCAAATAAGCAGGTTATGACCCCTGTATAACTGGGCATAGACCCCCAAGACAGTAGGTTTGGATCCCCAGCTAGACCCTAACAATAAAACATTAGACCCGAAGGCTCTAAACCCTAAAGCCCTAAACTTAAACCCTACCCTAAGACTCCAAGTATACAAATACTGCCTACTTTGGGCTCTACAGTCTATAAATGGTACCTACTTTGGGCTCTTAGGAGCCTTAGGGCTAGTGCGCTCACTCTCCAATTTAGACAGCTATCGTAGGGTCCAAGTACCTGATAATTATATACTCTCCCAAACGTAGAGCTACATAACCATTATCCTAAACCCAAGTACCTCATTATTGGGTCCTTTGGACCCTTAGGGAACTACGGTTGATGATATAAATCCTGCATGACCCATAATAAGGAATACACCATAATTCCCATAGTTTAGGGTCCTTAAGGTAATGCAGGATTGATATCATCAACCGTATCCTAGGGTCAGGGTGTGATGCCCGGGCTGTGAGGTTTCAGCTTGGAGGCCTTCGAGTTGCGTATCGTTTACCTTCACCCTAAATAACCTACCTTTTTAGGGTACCTTATTCTGATCTCTTTATAAAATAAGGCCTCAAAATGGTAGCTTATTCCGGGTTAAGATGGGTTTAGGGGTTAAAGGTTTAGGTTTTAAGGCTTTTGGTGTGATTTGGGGATCGAGAGTTTAGGGCTTTCAGGTTTAGTTGTAGTATCCTTAAGGGAGGGGGGTCCAAGGGGGGTATATAGCCTAGTACTCCCTAAGGTTCCCTTACAGTCCCCTAAGGATTCCTTATACCCTCCCCCCTTGAACCACCCTCCCTTAAGGATCCTATAATTTAGGGGTTTAGGAGCTGTTCGGACTTCGTACGGTTTCGGGCACGTTGGAGCTCGTGGCTGACGAACACTACTGCGCCTTGCACTGTTGCTTGCGCTCACAAACATTTCAGTGGACGTTGAACCCATACCCTTCCTCTGTTCTTCTAACCCTGGGCATCTAAGGACTCATATGTTAAGGCTTTTGGGCCCAAAGACCATACTATATAAGGCTTTTGGGTTATTTTGATGCCCAGGGTAATAGTCTGTGGATTTCTATCGGGGCAGCAGGACCACTACCCTAAACTCAAAAGTTTCATATACTAGATACAAGCTCTATAAACCCCCAAGGTCTGCTGTTTCTGCCCTACAGCCAAAATCGAGTTGAAGGCCATGCGTCCCGTCACCTGGCAGCAGCTTCCTGAAGTCCGGTTGCTGCTGGGGTTCTTTAGGTAGGGCATTTCGAGTTAAGGTTTACGGCTGGATTTTAGGGTGCAGTATAGTGAAGGGTCTTAACAGTCAGAAGAATATTGTTGTGCCTTTTTTAAGCGGGGCTACGTTGTAGTAGAACTATTTTCAGAACTATAGAGGGGCTGTTATGTCTAAGTCTAAGTATTCCGAACCCGAAATAAGGGCGTTCAGGGTTCAGGCTTTAGGGTTTGTGTCGACGTTTAGCCTTCCATGGATGCTTGGTGCTTCTTATGATGTGAGATATACTCTTTGATTGAAGGGAAGTCGGCTGTCCATTTTCTCAAACGCGGTGTTGTCTGGGGCTTTACAGCGCCAGGGTTTGGGGCTTTACAGGGTTTAGGTTTAGGGGTACTTACATGACCAAGCGAGGTCGTACTCATTTCAGAAATGCTCAAATTTGCACACTCGTTCTGAAACGCGCACCAAAGTAAAGCACAAACATTAAGGAGACGTGCCACAAACCCTTCGTTCTCAAGCCTTACACCAGCTCCAGCAGTTTGGGTTCGTCCGAGGTTGCTGCGAAGAGCTCTTCCAGCTCTTGCGCCGTTGCAGCCTGAGGATTCTTAAGGGTTTGGGGGGGCTCACAGGTTTTTGCTGATAATGTAGGGTTTAGGGTTTAGGGGTTTAGGGGTTTAGGGTTTAGGGTTTAGGGTTTAGGGGTTTAGGGTTTAGGGTTTAGGGTATAATTTAATGGTTCAAAGGCTTTCTCTCTCGTGGCCCTCAACTGGTGATACAGAAACCTCTCCTTCCGTCATACCCATAACGTATAAGCATCCCTCCCCAATTGACCAAAACCCTCCAAGCCCAAACCCTCAAAACCCAAATCCCCAAAACCCGAAACCCCCCCCGAAGCCCAAAAGATCTGGGAGGCCGTGCCCAGGCCGGCGATGGACCGCGGCAGTAGCCCGGGAAGAAGCCGGGCTGAAAGCCGGGCCTCGGAATTTTTTTGCGTTTTTTAATTGGTTTTAAGGCGGTTTAGAGTTTTTGTTTGGTGTTTCGTTCAGGCCTGGGTGGAAACCGCGATTTACAGGGTTTATGTCTGTCGTATTCAAGGGCTGAGCATTTGGGGTGTAGAACACCGAACCATGAACCCCACACCCCAAAACCGCTAAAACACCAACATTCACCTCATCATGAAGCCGTCTGCTTAAATATCCGGGCCTGACTAGTTCGAACAGGGGTTTAGGGTTTATGGAATAGGTTTGGGGATGTGTTACAGATGGTGACTACCCAGCTGTTAAGAATCATTCCTAGGCTCCGCAGTATCCCAGTGTTCATAAGCAGTGTGTCTGCCCTTTTCCTGTTTGATAAAGGAGCCCACAATTAAAAACCAAAAGAGTGCTACTTGGGAAACCAGACAACTCCGAACCCTAGCGGAATGACCTACGACAGGCCCAGTCTAGAATACTGACGTTTGGTATTTCCTGCCAGTCTGTCCTAGATCTGGAAGAGACCCCTAGAACAAAGCCCAATGAATCCGCTGGCCTTCATAAATAGACCAAGATGTTGTGGCCGAATATGATATGTATGACCACACAGCGGGGAGGACCACAAAATGCAGTCTTTTCCCGTCATTCGGGCCTTGTATTCCTCAAGCAAGTTGAATTGACATGTATTAGGCCTGGAATGCTACAAAGTTGGGGCAAACTCTGGCAACTTACTGAAATTTCGTGCGGCTTTTGCTTCACACGCGCCCATACGGCCGGGATGGCCAATCACCATCTACTCAACGCGATGCTCCATGAAGCCTGTGCGTGGCATGTCCTTGAGCATAATGCTGTTCTAACACCTACAGGCGAAAGCCCGTCAGACAAGTGCCATTAATGCACTGGTATATTATATACATATTGATATGTGTATGAATACAAATATATATATATATATATACATACATACATGTGCACATATACAATGCATATATCTATCGATCCATCTATCTGTGTATATATATATATATATGACTCTGTGTATATGTGTTTAGACACATATATATATATATATATATGTGTGTGTGTACACATGATACCACGTTGCCGTAGCAGATTGCAAGACATCTCCAAGAATGGAGTATATTCTGAAATCATGCACTGCGGGTACATGCCTTTTTTAGTCAGTGATTTCACCCCAATCTATGACCTCACAATAGTTTGAGCTTGCCGTTGGAGGCTTTACTACAAGGCCTATCGGTGAACTATATTGCCGCTGCAAGATGAACAGCTATTTGCTCGACTACCAACTTCAGTGCACACGTAAAATCCTGGACCCTAAATCTTCAACCCTATTCCCTAAACTCTGAACCCTGAACCTTAAACCTGGACCCCAAACCCTCAACTCCTGGACTGTATGTGTATACGTATATATATATATATATATATGTATTATACCAAAGCTCTGAACCCTCAAGGAAGCTTGTGAGCTTAAGGTTCGCGATGTACGGCAAGAGCTAATGTAGGGGCCTGAATATTTGGAATAGGGTTTGGGGGGTATATTGTACTATAACCATAATCAGGAACCCCTAGACACGGTTCTAATTAGTAGGGCCCTTACATAACTTTCCATGCGCTTACACATATGCTCCATTCTAGGTCCTTTTGGGGAATTAACTTTATAGGACCCTGTAATTATAAGGTGATCCCAAACGGAACTACTATGGAGCCTCTAGGTACTGCCGACAGGAATTCAAAACAAGGTTTTCAGCTGGAAGTTGAACTTGTTGAAACCAGGCGCTAAGGCACTTTGCAGTATAACAGGAATCAGCGGAACAACATGCCAGCATACTGCTTGTGGGGGCGGGTCTATTCACGCGGGTTGCTCTGGGCCTCTGAATGGGTGGAATTTTTCAAGGCGCAGCTTTGGCGTCACGGCTTTAACTCACCCCTCTATGGCCGACTGGCACTAAACATGCCTGATATTGCATCACCTCCAAAATCGTACTCAGTAGACTTCTCAAGTACCTTGACTCGACCCTGACTCCTGAACCCTGAGTCCTGGATCCAAGAACCTGAATCCAGGACTCGAGTCCTAGACTTAAAACCCAAACTCTTAATGTAGGAATCTGATAAAGAAACCCTGGGTCTTTATAAGGGGTCTTGATATGGAACCTACTATTTTGGGCTTATTGAGCCAGGGTTTCTTAATCAGGTTCCTACCTGGAGAACCATAGTTCCGCAATTTTCTTTGAACTCGCCACTGGTGGCCTGAATATTTCCGGTGGCCTAAACCTCCCTTCCTAAAGATCACCAGAAAACGTGATGAATCGACATTCGTTCGGACTTTTTCACTCCCACACCTTTGCGAGTGCGACCTTGTAGAGGTACAAGGTTCTCTCGGGCACAAAACGTGGGTTCACAGATCTTGCCAGAGTTGCAATTCGATTAATGAAGTCCTCTGCCATCTGGCATGAATAAGCCAACGGGTTGACGGGTGACCGATTGGCCTCCTTGTCCACCAGCAGCTGGTGCACCACGTGCAGCAGCATATGGTACTTCGGTGTCAATTTGAACCTGGGCAAGGATCTTGAATGTGCCATCGCCGCAATTTTGGTATACTTTGTAACCATCGCCGTGGCCAGCCGACAAATCCTGATAAGGCGACGGTTGTTCAAGAACAACCCCGCCTTATACAAGCAGCTGAGGAACCCATCGGAGGCTCGCAGGCACTCCAGAATCTGACCCAAGTACTCAGCCTCGCTGTGGCCCTCCAGGGCACCTGACTCTTGTAGAGCCTCGTACTTCCAGATCAGATATTTCAGCACAAATGTGGTATCGGCACCTTTGAACCACTGCCTCGACAGAACAGGGAAAGCGACTATGCACAAAGCTGTCTGTTACAAGACCAAAGTGTTTTGACACTATAAAAGAATGCCAAGCAGTGAAGGCACCCGACAGGGAAGTCTGCTGACGAGCTGATCCCCAACAGTCCCTTCGCAGTGAGGTTATTCATATGCAAGTAGAGACCTCGATCAGCAGAAAATTGCTTCATCTCCTGAAACAAAAATTCCAGGCTCTTGTCCAGACCTCTGGCATCAGATCCAGTCAGCTTGAAATCCCATAGAGAAACCTCAGCTTATAAAGTATATGGACCAGGGTTTGGGGGGCTTTCAACATTTACGTATACAGTAGTGGTCTAGGGTCGGCAAACCAAAACATACTATGCGACAGGAGCTCCAGCCCTGAACCAGCAAGTTCGGCGTGGACTCCTTTGTGACAAGTATGGAACAGATCTATCAGATAGAACTTTGGCTTGTCTTCCACTGCCATGGGAATCTTCGATGTGAGCCCAGACTCTTTGTTCGGATCCCAAGGAATAGTATAAGATGCACCACCAATGCTTTGTACCCAAGGAGCCGTCTCAAAGTTGCATTCATGCCACGATGGACACTGCCGAGTGTTGGCCATACACAAGTGGCATATTCCATGCTTGAAGGGGTACGATTCTCGCCGAAAGTGCCTGAGCAAACGACCCAGCTTATCCAGAGCCGGCCAATCAGCCTTCAAACCCAGAACAGCGACCCGCCATGTCTGCGTGCAGCCGCCGCTGCGGATCTGCAGGCCATCGTAGAAGAGTTTCGCAAAATCTTCTGCCCAGATATTGATAAGTTTGTGAAGGGGCAGGTCCTTCTTGGCATACAAGTACTTGGGCATGCATGCGAACAGCTGCCTGGTAAGAAAAGTATTTCCCACGAAGTTCATTTTCATCTTGTCCTCTGCAGTTTGCGAGTCTTGTGCATCACAGCCATCGCCGAGCAGTGATTCTGACCCCAACACGAAAACAGCTGACTTCTTGTAGCCACGGCCCTCATCCCCTATGAGGTAGAGTGGAATGGTACAAGCCCTTGCACTTGCAGGCAGCTGGAAGATGGGATGCTGTGGTCTCAGCGGTTGCATCTTGTCCCAGAAAGCTTCAAGGTTGACATCTTTTGTAAGCACGTTCAGCTTGTTCTGATCAGCTAGCACCCGAAGATAATCAGAAAACAGAATACACGGAAAAAGCTGCTTCAAGCCAACATCAACTCCGGTTACCGGTATTGGTGCCTGGCTTTCTGGCATAGTAGCCAAAGCGTCTCGGGTCTTCTGTGCTGCATGACCGGTGAGGTGCCCACGACTCATCTTGCAAAGAAGCTTGTAAGACTTTAGCTTTGCGGCAGCCTCCTCCCCAAAAGAATCGTTGATCTCCGACTCCACGGCACGTGCCACCCCGGCAACCAACTCATGTGATACCTTATAACAAGTTTAAAGCATAAGAAACACTTCCCTTCGAAACCCCTTAGTAATACAACCATACCCCTATTAGGTTTTATAAAACATAGATATTCATAGAATCTTAATTATAGTTCCCTCGTATAGACGAAACTCAATGGCCCCGATACACCTTTGGTAAGTGCTTCGGTCAGAGCCGATGCTATAGCTCCAGGCTTTTGTCCAGAGCTGGCAGTAGACGATGCAGCCGAAGCAGTGGATTTGTTACTGTCCACAGATCGCAGGGATAAAGTACCTGCGGGGATTTGTTTTGTTGGTCATGACTGAACAGTGTAGCTGTGTAGCTGGGTGCAAACGATGCTGAACGACCTTTTTGTTCGGGCTCTGCTCGCACGACCCTTCCCCGAAGTTGCACATGAAGTGCCCCCGTATCTTGTGGGACAAGGGCTCGAGGTCAGAACCTTTTTTTTGTGCCCAGGATAATGACATGCTAAGGTTTGTATAAACCTTAATCACAGTGCGTGAGAAACGGCCTCGAGGTATTCAAAGTCTAGGCTAGCCGGGTTCAGCCTTTATGTACATATACCACTGCACCAAGCTCTTGCCCTTGACACACAGCACAGCTCGAAGCACAGCCATCCAAGGCTCACTTCGGCGACCTGTTCGCCGCCTTGGCCTTGCCTTTTGGCTTTGCGGGATCAGGCTTGGGGGCCGCCTTCGGCTTTTCCGTCTTGGCACCGGACAACACAGTCCTGATCATGCATGTGTTGCAAGCACAGTGGATCACAGGGTCACAAGAACTGCAACATGTAGCTGCTGATTTGACAGCCAAGTGACTTCTTGATTTTGTTCTCCTCCATAGCCATGCGACTCGACCTGCAGGTGGAGTCTTCGGATCATGCATGGCTGTGCGGAGGACAGGCATTGGTGGCCGAGTGGCAGCTTGTTGATCTGGCCCATCAGCTTAGTCAGCTTCCTTAAGGCAATAGGTTAGGGCTTCTAGGGTTTAAGGGTTATTATAAGGGTTTGGGTTGCCAAAGGATAGTTACGGATAGTTTCATGCTGCCCAGCATCCCGGAATCAATCTCCTCGTCGCAGTCATAGGCAGACTTTATGTCGACGAGTTCATCATGTTTCACACCCAGTTCTTTGATCTGGGTCTTCAGCAAATCCGCTTTCCTGGGTGCACGAAATTGAAAAACATGCAGCCAAAACCCAACTGACCTGTGCCCCTTGCAGTTTAATACGACCACGTGGCTCCGTAGCACCAGCCTTCTGGCACCGTTCCAGGAGCTTCGAGGATCGGCCAGAAAGCTTCAAGATGTCGTCCAGCAGGGCCGGGATCCCTTCGATGTCCTGGGTTGTGCGGATTAGGATTCTGGGTTTGAGGGTTTATACTATTGGGTTTATAGTAGGTTTTTATTAGGGTTGTAGGGTTTATTAGGGCATTAAGGTTTATTAAAGGTGATAGTAGGTTTTTATTAGGGTTGTAGGGTTTATGAGGGCCTAAGGTCTATATTGGGTAAAGTTCAGCTAGTCTTGTCTTATGTTTCTTCGAAATAGGATCACTTATAGCAATTCTAGGATTGCACAATTGCTGAAGCGTATTGGAAAACCTGTCCTCGTTCACATCATTTAGATCCTCCTTGGTCTTTCGCTTTCCTAGCTTAGCCGTTGGCTGCGTACCCTCCTCAGCATCCTCATCCTTTTCATCTTCATCATCATCCTCTGCTTCTACATCGTCTTCATCGTCGGAGTTGAGGTTGGGAAGGCTCGCCCCCAGTCCCAAAGGCACATCACTGACTTGGGCTTCACCCAGTCCCGTCTCTCGGCTCATCTGCTCCTCGTCCTTGTCGGAGCGAACAGCCTCATAGGCAATATCGCAATAGTACCAAATAAGCTTCTTCTGGTACTTGTCCTTCCTGACAGAAGCTTTGGTTTGGGGATAACAATCGTTGGGGATCCGTGCCTGGTGTGGCTTTTCTTGTTCTCCTTCCGCATGCAGTATTTTCTGATAGCCTTGCGTCTGTCCCTTGGTTGGAGTCAGAGTCACCATTGTACATGTAAGACTGTGCAAATACGTACACACACACACACACACACACACACATGGACAGATACATGCATCCACCCGCTGAAGCATACATACATGCATACATACATACATACAGACATACATACAAACATATACTATACATACCCACAAATATACTATGTTCACGTGTGCACATACACATGTATCTTCTATACATATCAACTAACCATCATGTGTGCCCATTTCCATACACATCTGTATATACACATTTGCACACACACACACACACCTACACCTTTACATGCACAACCCATTCCTCCATGCTAGACGAATAATTGCAGCAAAGGAGCTCGGAGAATTTCAGTTCGTCTTTCATCATTTGGTCAGTGTAAAACCCAGATCTCGTCTTGAATTCCTTGGACCTGCTCTGCGTGTATGTGTGCTTCACCCTCTGCGTGAACAGCTCCTGCATGTGTAGGTCGAAGCATGAAAGAAAAGTCTCATGACCCCATGACATGCAACACATCTCCAGTCCTTCTTGCCGTCACACTCCAAAAGAACTTTTCGGAGCTCTCTCCGAGACGAGCCTCCTCGTTTCCACATCTTGTGGACCTGTTCTGGAACTTTGAGGCCACCCTTCCGATCGGGCTTGCAGCAACGTCGCAGCGTGGCTTCGAGCTTAGACAGTGTTTCTTTCGATAAGTTGTCCACGGACACTGCAGCCTCAGATGGCAGGGTTTCAGCAGTTTGACAAATAGAAGAGCCAAATTGCAACACACAGCTACAACACAAAGTCGAGTGGCTCGCTTGCCACCCACCAGCTTCCTAGCTTTCTTAGCTGGAACAGGAGGTGCAACGGATTCATCATCTTCATCATCATCATCAGAAGAAAGAGATTCTTTCTCGTCGGCGGTCGGGGTGTCGGTGACCTCCGGTTTGGGCTCCTGGCTTCATATACCATGACAAGTCTGCTGTACTACAGTGGCTTCATGTTCACTAATGCGACCGGACCTTCAGTGGCGTGCCGTAGATATCCTTGTCCTTAGAGAGGATGCCGAGGATTGGAGTTGAACATTGACAGCATGCAAACCAATATCCAAACAACGACTGGTCGATGTTAACACATTAGTGCATGCCGTGCTTCAGCAGGGTGCCAGTCCTCCTCGGCAGAAGAAACCTCGATCATGTTGTGTAGTGCGAACTGCAGCATGTCGTCATCCTCGTTCTCGGAGTCGGACCGAGGTGCTGGAAGAGTCAAGACTTCTGCGGGAGGCTGGGCACAAGCTTCGTCAAAACTTGCAAGCAGGGACTTTCGTGGTGTCGCCTTCTTGGGCGTCTGTTCTGGGGCCTTTAGTGGGCTCCGTCGGTTCAGGGCAGACTTGCGGGTCGAAGCTTGGGGGCTCGACTGGGGCTTGGGGGTCGCAGGTTTGGTGCTCGAAGACTGCACGGGCTTTGGGGAGTAGTGTTTCGTGCTCGGAGACGTGGGTCGGGGTGTCGAGGGCTTGGGTGTCGAGGGCTTGGGTGTCGAAGCCTTGGGTGTCGAAGCCTTTGGTGTCGAAGCCTTCTTTGGTGTCCCAGCCTTCGGTGGCACTGTCGTAGCCTGGGGTGTCGAAGCCTTTGGTGTCTTTGACTTACTTGGGGTCCCAGGTTTGGGGCTGAAAGTCTTCGGCGGGGGTGTCGAGGCCTTTGGTGCGGAAGGTGGCTCCGACCCTCCCCAAACATCCTGGGCATCTTCCCCCTTGTCAACCACTCGCTCTAGGCCTGAGGAGGCAGCCCCACCAGTAGGCCTGGGGCTCTGAAAACGGACCGGGCTCTTTGCGGCAGAAGGCTTCGGGGGAGGCTTCTCGGGTGTCCCCTTTTCCTGCCCTAGATCATTATCCTCGGCAGCAGTATCAAGCTTTCCTCGTTTCGACTTCTTCTTTCGAAGCCGGGGCTTCTTGCTGGGAGGCTCTTCAGCCTCCTCGAGATCAGCAGCTGGCGTTGTCAGCTGCTCCTGCTCACGACGAGCCTCCAGGGACTTCAGAAGTTGTCTTGCATCCTGGAGGCAGCATCAGGGATGAGGTCATGGATGATTGATTGTTTGGGCTACTTAATAGAGATGTAACCCCAGCATAATTATCAGGTCCTCGAGTTGCTCTTGGATAGATTTGGGCTCCTCCTTCACAGCCTTTGCTGCATTAGCCTTTGGCCCTTTTTTCGGCATGGGGCCCCCGAGAGCCACTCGACACAAAATGTTCTCTGTCATAAACAGGATGCAGGTTTGCATGTGCTAGCATGGGCAGTGATGCGAGCGACTTCTTGTGTTGCACACAGCCAAAAACAGGCACTGGCAACGACCTACGGTTTTCTGCGCCACAGCTACGGACATCTGCGCCACAACTACGGATGTTTGCGCCACCGGCTGCCTCTGTATTTTCGTGTTAATTTAGTTAAAACATAATAAAACAACACCGAACCCAAGCATAACTATAGGCCCCTGTAAACTCTACTGTATAATTTATCCCTATACAGACAGCAGCCCGGCTCGCGAGGCTGGCATGGTCCTGCTCAGACATGAGCGATGTCCTCCGGGGGCATGGAAGCTTCTAATGTACAGGATCAGGTCGAGGTGGACAAGTTTGGGGTGTATATAGAGTCGGGTTTCGGATACAGTTGGGCTTCTTATCCTTAGTTTGGGTTTCGGGTTTGGGTTCGGCGGGATAAGGCATCCAAAGGCTTCGAATGGGGCCTGTAGAGGCCCTGTATTGGGAATTCCATTAAAGTCATGAAAGCTTCCGGTTTGGGACACCATGTTGCTTTCGGGCTTCGCTTTTCCCATCACGGGTCTCGGGTATACGTGGTTTCCGGTGTCTGAGGGTTTTACAAGCTGTGGTGGAAGTACAGGATCACTTGTAGAAGTTGTAAGCTTATATAAATCCTAATATCCCCGAGGCGAAACCCAAACTCGAAGCTGAGTCATGCTGCTCACACTGTGGTGGGTGCTTAAGGTGGGTGCTTAAGCAAGGGCTAAAATACGGTTCTATGTATATATAAATCTTAATAAAACCTGCTTAATAGACCTATCTATCTGTGTATATTATATATATATATACTATGTATATATCTATCCAGTCATATCTGGATCCATTTACATGCACAAATATATGCGAGTATGTATATATATATATATATACATATATATATATATATATGCATGTATGTATGTATGTATATATATATATATAGATATATATACACATATACATATATATATATATATATAGCTATTCCATACGTATATATATATATATATATAGATACACAGAACCTACACATACCTACACTACACGTATAAGCTTGGTCCCTGACCCTTTTAGGGTTTACACTTTCTAGGGCATTCTAGGGTTACCGGGTCCTTGGAAAACCAGGCACCTGGTCTCCACCATTTCTGGAACGTGCCCTTCTGGAACATTCTGCAATAGATCCTGGCGACTGCATTTATTCGCCTCGGATCCATGCAAAGAGAAGCTCTGCAGCAATGGTTCTAGTAAGATCTATCGATTGCAATCAAGCGACTTTTTCTTGTAGACGTAGACGGAAGATTTCTTCGCCAGACGAGCAGGATGATATACCATAATAGCTCTGGAGTTCGAACACAGCCGGTGCTTCCTTAAGTGCATTCGCCCCTGGATCCAGAAATTGACCCGAAACACTCTGGCTCGGGAGGCCAGCTGCACCCACCGTGGATGCTGCTGCAGGAGCCCCGATGAGGGGAGCTCGGCCGTCCACGTGCATCCCAAAGCCTGTGCCAGGAATAATGCCAGGGCTAGCCTCGGATAAGGATTGTTCAGGCAAAAGTATAGAATGATCATAATAGTGCTGAGTTGCTTGTCTGCCATTTCAGATCCGTCAATAGATCTTGCGTGGATAATGCTGCCCGGCTTGAGCTTCAGGATAACAGCCAACATGAACCTCAGCTGTCGACACAAACCTACTATTGTAACACTGCAATCGGACTCTCGAACTCCACGAACTCCATGCTAGCCGTGACACATAAAGTTCACCGAGTCTGGCCCCCATCGAGCCGAAGCCACTGCTAAACCCTTGGCCTTCATCCTGGTGCTCACCATTGTGTGATGAACAAAGAATTCCACAGCATCAAACTCCTGCACGGGGCCAAACAAGCACTGCTACAGAAGACAATCAGCCAAACACTCCGAATGTGTTCACACATCAACCGGGCCCACCCCACCTGAGAAAAATCAAGGTCCATGTTGCTGACAATGTTGAAGATCACCATCAGTATCTCAGCCAACAGGGGTGAAACCGAGCTTATACAAGAACAACTGTTAGGGTAAGCCACACATAGAAACTTACGACATGTATGACTAGATATACAAACTAGGGGCATATGGTGCTCCATTGTCTCGCAGGATCTGAAGAATCGATACTCGCCGATCATCAGCAAGGACCATGGCGATCAGCGGCTAGGCTCTCCGAGCTTAGGCTGCAATGGTCACACGGTTGAAGACAACACACACGAGTCCATGCGTGCAACCTGCTCGCTGTCACTGTTTGCTTTCATCCCTGAGACCTTCTTGTTCCCAGTAACAATGTCAGATTTCTAAGACCAAGCCCAAACCTCGTAAACCCACTGGGGAAATGCAGGCACCGTAGCTGTAACGAGTTCTACACGATTGGAAAGGCAAGCCTGAAGCTTTACAGCAGCGGCAACAACCCCAAGCCCCATAATAGCCTTCACTGCACCGTGAAGTACAATACACGAAATTTAAACGATAACAAGCCTCAAACCCTATAACCCAGACCTGAACTATATAAGCCGAGTCAACTTTCCTATGTCAGATGCTATGAACATTTTAGGGCAGGACCCAAAACCTACACAATCCTAAACTCTATAGATCTTAAGGTACATGCCACCCACAAACCCATCCGGTGGGGCACGTTTCGGCTTCCCCTTGAGGAACTTCACCATGTAGCCCAGCCTGCCACGGGCAAGTCGAGCTAGCTTTGTTACTGCTTGCAGATGCTCAGACAACAAACAAAAGGGCTGCAAGCATCGGCGTTCTTTTGCGGACAGTCTGCCCAATGATCAGCACTGGCAGCTCGGCCACAACAGCAACACCCATCGTATCTTCTAAATCTCGAGATCAAATGAAGCCATGCGAGTAGCACCGTTCTGCGTGGAGTTGCATCGGACTTTCTGAAGGGCTTATAGGGCTTAGGGTTTAGGGTTTAGGGTTTCTAATATTAGGGCTTATACACAGGGTTCTAAAAAGTCGTATGATATATGTTCTAGACTATAGATCTTGTTTGAATATAGTTTGAAAAGAATCGTTAGGCCTAGGTTCCACTCCAAGCTAGACAGGGTTGCAAGCATCCAGTGCAGAGTCTATGGTGCCATCGCATAAGCAAGCCCCAGGCTAGACCACAAGTGGCGGCACGTGCTCCGGCAGCTTACTGTGCGGAGCTCAACTGAAATCGCATCGGGTGACGAGTGAGAGCTGGAAGCCCATATCATTGATTTTCTACATTGCACAAACTCATACCCGGTGCGGACCCAGAGATCTGTGCTTCGGCTGTGACAACAACCAAAACACTCCCTTACAGAAGCTATTGCACATGTAGTCATGTAGTCCAAAGTGAACCATTGAAAGAAGCAAGCACAGTTCTCAAACAGTTGCAGGTCTGGGTTTGCGGGGCTTGTAGTTTGGATCTCGGCACTTCGAGCAGCCCCCGGCTCGCCAACGGCATTTGGGACAGCCGAAAACCTTGTCCGTAGCAGCATCGTTTGCAACTGGACCGCCTGCATCCTTCTTATTCTTCTTAGAATTTCCTTTGGCCTTGGCCTTGGCATCCGGTTTGTCGTTCTTCGACGGCACGGAAGACTTAGCAGCAGGAGTCTTACCCTTCTTAGCAGGTTTAGCTGCCTTCTTTGGCTCGGGCTTCTCCTTGAGGTGATTCTTAATCACAGTTTTGCTGGATTTGCACATGCCCTTGCCCTTGCCCTTGCTCTTGTTTGTTGCACCCTTTCCTTTACCCCTTCCCTTGGCCGCTGCAATAGCCGCCTTCTTCGCAGTTCTCATCGACCTCTGCATCTGCGGATCAACAAGATCAGCCTCCTTCGGGCCATCCTTGTCATTGTCCTAACAGGGATGCTGCTGATTTATACAGAAACTGAGGCATCATCTATGAAGTGATTTGGATACTTTCACCAAACAAGCTCCTGCGATGTCAAGCTCTCTCGACTGCCACTCGGCGTGCTTTTCAAGGTGCTCGCGGGAGATGGAAGATCCAGGATGTTGAGAGGCTGGGTTTCCAACTGCACAGGGATAAATTAAGTAACAGCGACACCATTTAAGGCATGAAGTGCTCATTCGGACTATAAGACTTACAGCCGTGCAGAATATGATGCCTGGGACGGATCGCAGGTGCTTTGCGTGGATCGGCTCTTCTTCGACAAGCCTTAAATCATGAAAGCAAACATTTATTAGGTTCTGAGAAATACAACAAACGGGGAGGAGTAGGATTAGACAGGGTTATACAGGCTTATATTAGGGTCGTTATATAGGCTTAACCTAGACGGTTGAATAAGGAGAACCCGTAATATCATCCAAGAGGCTGGAAGCATCAGAAGTCGATGGGGATGTCGATGGACTCTTTCGTTTCCCATCATTCGACCTTATGTTGTCAGCTGCAAGCAGACGGGTCAAACATCAACAGCAGTAAGCTTCATCCAGGTGCCGGTGATTGTTTCGGAAACATGACTTTGTAAGGTTCGGGCTGGAGAAGCTTCAGCTCAGAAATCTGAGCAAGAACTTTCTTAAGCTCTTTCTTTTCCTTCGTTTCCGAAGAGCCCACAAAAAGCACTTCCTCCTCAGCGACTGCTGTCTTCGCTTGAAGTCGCCTTACTGGTGTCACGAGGGCCTCGACGGGCTTCAACTTCTTAAGCTGGGGAGGCTTTTCAGGCTTTTCAGTCTTTTCCTCCACTTCTACACACTCATCATCCTCCAGCTCTGCTTCCTCCTCTCCTTCCTCTCCTTCCTCTCCTTCCTTTCCTTCCTCGCATACCTCCTCCTCCTCCTGCTCCTCGTCTGCTCGCTCTCCCTCTTCTGCCTTCTTTCTCTCATAGATCTGCTTGACACAACCTTTCAGCTTTCGGGCAGGAGTGGGCAGCGTATTCCGGAGTTCCCGGATGAGCTGGAACAGCTTCTGGACTGCCTCGCCCTTGGTCACATGCACTTCATGTTCACACAACTTCCGGAATCCGAAAAGACATTGTGTCATGCTGTGTCATGCAGGCTCTCAGCATATTAATGGCAAGTGTCGGCAGGTGTTTGCCCTCGCTTGTGGCAATCAGCTTCACGTCTCAGGGCATAGGAGTACAACTTCCGAAGGCCCCAGCTGTCCTTGTAGATGCGGGAGGGAGTCACATCCCACCCCTGGTTCTCATAGAACTCCTCTACCTCGGGTCATCGCAGAATGAAAACAAACACAAATCATCATATGTGCGGGACTCAAACACCAATACTGTGATCGTTCAATGTAATGCCAGCAAGTTGCAGCCTTTTGAAGCAAAACGATCGAGACCAAAGTAAGCTGCTGCAGGTGCTCAACCATAAGTCGCACCATCTGACAGTTAAATGTCAAAGCCTGTGCACCCGGCTCACACTCCCTCTCTTCTTCCTCCTCCCAGCGTAGCCACGGCATGCCCTTGGCTTGCCGGCTCTTGCTAAGCTTCAGGTTCTGCCAAGCTTTCGTAAGCTTGGCAAAGCGAGCAGCCATTGCTGCTAAGGCAACCCACGAACTACAAACCAGAGCCCTGAGTCTCGACCCAAACGAATGTTCACGACAGCGATGCTTTTGATGCTCATGCTCAAGGATGCACCCAGCAAGCACGAGCAGACCAAACATTCGGAATCGCATGGGTAGGAGTCCTGAGGATGTATGGGGAGTGTAGATTTATTTAGGGTAGCAACATAAACTCAGTTAGCAGCACCCGAAAGGAAAGATGATGGCCTCGAACATCATGCAGCTCCATGACCCATCCAGCTCGTCCGACCTGTTTGGGTGCTTGGCTTGCGGCAGCTTCAAGGTCTTTCGGGCTGGGCTTTAGGTTCGGTTTCCCCTGCCTCCAGCGTGCATTCAAAGCCAGGGCGTGATGTCGATGAGGTCGAAGGGTCCTGGGGATTGTGTTGTTTGGAGGTTTGCTGGGTCTTGGGCCAAATAGAATTGGGCCAACTCTACAGTCTTATGATAGGCTCATGCCAAGGCATTTTACAGACAAGCCCACGAACCTTTTAATTTATGCCATCGTGCAACCCATTCAAAAACCCAAGACTTCAGTAACGACGGAATCAAAACCCTATATAGCTTTTCCCTGATTGTCACCCTGGCCCCGGCACTCCTGCATCCACGAATCTTCGCCAGGCGAAACACGATGCGACATTTCCGGCTGCGGAAAATCTCGAAAGCTTGGGGTGTTGCAGGGCTTTGAGGGATATAGGGTTTTGTGGGTGTACAGGGTCTTCTATTATGGGTCTCTCTAATCTAGCTTTAAGCTCTGACGTGTGGGTTTTCCAGGTTGGATGGATCGTCCGGGCTTTATCGAAAGCTTGCTACTTGACCATGTGTGTTGACATATACCAGAAAGGCACATGTACGGGCAAATTAAGCGACTAAAGGTAAGTATTTGTAAAAGTAGCTACCATATATGGATGATAAACTATCGCAACCTTTCAGAAAAGAGGCTTTCGAGCCTGCAGTTGCAGGAACTTCCCGTGGTGGCCTAAATTATTGCGACTGCGAGTCATGACATCAGTTGCAAGTTTTGTAGGCAACTTTAGCGCCCCAGGTACTTCAAAGCGCGTTTCCGATTCCGAAGACCACACACCAATCACTCAAAGGATAACGAGCAGGGCGAAGTTCTACAAGGCTTCCTAGGGTCTGTAGGGTCGTTCACTTATACCGCGTTGGTTTGGTTTAGGGTTTAGGAGCTACTTGAAGAATTACAGGAGTTAGTAAACAGATGTGAACTGGGTATATATACGGGCAATTTCTGTTGGCCATGGGATCTCTGAGCCTGCAACCTAGTTCCGAGAACCCATGCTCCTCGAAGCAAGGTAAGCAGAGCCTTCAAATTAAAGGCAGCATGCAGCTAAGCAGTAACGTGTGAAACTCCAAACCTCGTATGTGTTGCGACGATGCTTCACGAAGCTTGGAGCATCGCGCGGTTGCGTTACTGTGCCCAGGGCCCCTTCTCGGCGCCACTGCATGTGTCAGCAAAAGTTGTCAAGCACTCGGCGCCCGTAATCCGAAAACAAACACCCGAAACCTAAACACATTAATTAAACCCGACACCCGATGCCATAACTTTGGACCTGACAGGTAGGCTTGGTTGACCGGAAGCGCTGAGGATTCGGTCATAAACCGATATGTGCATACATGGCAGTTAGGACTCCAAAATAAGGTGCCCCAATCTTCGGAAACTCCCACATATTCGGATCCACGGATCTCTTAACCCAACTGGTGAGGTTCGTGCAGACACGTGCGGGCACGGTTCAAAGACTGGAAGGGGCCACAAGGCAGCTAGTTGAAGCAAACCATCTTCGTGCACAGGGTTACGCGAAAGGAACCGGAACTGTTGAGGTTAAGACTGTTGCTGTCCCATGTGCATGTCTAGGGCACTGTACACAGAAGCTCGAGTACTTAGGACATCAGGGGACGGTAGTCGAACCCCCCAAGAAACAAAATGCCAAGCCTCAACCGCAAATTCCTCAAGCCACGAGCGCTGTGGATGCCAGCGGCAAGCGATGCTGCGGGGCTCCAGTTTGTGGAGGAACGTGCATTCCGGCCGCCAATTGGAGGGGGGGTTGTCGGTGGTGTCGGCGTCGCTACCAAAATGCTGGATTCGGGAGTTTCCGAAAATGGGGGACCCTTTTTTTGTTCCCCTAAATAGTAGGATCCTCATATTAAGGATCGCAAAATAAGGTACCCCTAATATCGGAAACACCCATTTCACAATTTGACAACTCCTTGAAGACAAAAACCTTTTCCGAGATCTGGGTTTCCACCAGGGAGCCATTCAAAGGCCAAACATATGCTGAAAAACGGTTAAGGTTTCGGGCTTAGGGCAAAGCCTTCTGGAAGGAACCACTCAACAGCGAGAAATGGTCCGTTTCACAGTACATGCTTCTGTAGTTTTCTCGAGAGGCTTGTATTTCAGAGGCTCTGGCCGCTGAAATTATTCGGAACCATGGTTGCTGCCTTGGAACCCCATAACATCAGCCCTAACCCAGCCCGGGAGGATCTAGAAAGTAGATCCCCTAATTTGGGCCCCTACACTACCACGGGTACTTTATAGGAGCCCCCATTAAGAAATCCTAGACCCTAAACCCTGAAATAACCCTAAACCCTAAACCCCCATTAAGGGATCTACTTTTTGGATCCTCCCGGGGGTGTGGGAAGTGGAGATCGGGAACTCTAGCACAGGCCAAACCCAGATCCCCACTCGACCAACAAAGAACAGAACCCTCCGCACTACGGTTGATGAGAAAAAACCTGCATTACCTTACTTAAGGACCCGAAACTATGGGAATTATGGTATATTCCCTATTATGGGTAAGATTTATATCATCAACCGCAACTCCCAGAGCCCAGAAACAGAGGCAGAGGTGTTATAGCGGCATAAAATTTGAATAGTAAATAATAGTAATAAGGGGCCCCCAGAATAGTATTGTAATTATTTCGGCCATTTTGTTAGAGCCCCAAGATAATGCACAGCTTTAGCAAAAACGCAGCTCTCCCGACACCCGAAAAATCCTTTAACTCCATGGCAAGAGCCAAACCTACAAGATCCTACACACGACCAGGACCCCCCCCAAGGGCCCTGTAATAGAGCCCTTATGGCCCTTACGGGGTGGTATTGGGGTATTAGTAGAAGGTAGTTGGAGGGTCTAGGTAGACCCCAAACCCAATTTTAACGAGTTCCTCTGGCAGCAGTAGCCCCAGCACGACGGACGGCAACCTGCCTGTGTCTGCATGCCCTTGTGGCTGCAGCAAATGCAAGGTACCCTAAACCTTCGTTCCCCAAGAAGGTCAGCAAACATTGCTTTTTGTAGATCCTTATATCCAGAATCCCCAAAACACAAAACACAAGACGTAACCAGTACACGTATAGCTTAAGCGACCCTAAACCCTCAAAAACCCTAGCTCCCCGCGCCGCTCGACTCAATTCCGAGGGAGGGCTCAGTTCTGTGCGTCCGGTTGCACCTCAGGCCTTCCAAAGAAAAAGCTCTGCTTATGCAAAAATCAGTGGACTTGCTACTTAGTTTGTCCGGACTAAGTTGACAAGGATGTTCCTGTTTCCAGTTAATGTGCTTTGAAGGTCAAGGGCTTCAAAGGATTCAGGGTGCGATCTTGAGGGTGCAAGGTCTAAGGTGTTGGGACGAGGCTGTTTGTCCAATATCTCAGGGAGCAAAACAAAGATCAGCCTGTGTAAATGACATGGTGTAAAAGGCTTGAAAGCTGGCTCCTTCGACTACCTAATGTAGGGTTCACAGAGACTTATGGCTTAGGGCTCAGGGACACTGAGTAGTGACATTTTGCCGCCGAGTGGTTCTGTCTTTAATTTTGGGCTGAAACGAATTGAAGGAGAGGCTCAGAAGGTGGGGTTTCACGCTTGACGAAATCATTGGTGGGGTGTGATGGTCTGGCATTGGGCTTTTGAATTGGGATAAGGGTTTAGAGCTTCAGGTTAAGGGCTTAGAGTTTAAGGCTTAGTTTCCGGTTTCCCTTCCTTAAGGTACTCCAAGACCAAGTAGTGACGTGGGCCCACCCTTGGGCATGGAACTTCGGGCCTGACGACCCACCAGCAGTAAGCGAGGACGAGCCTCTAGCTGAGGCAGCGCATCCACAGTCAGACTGGCGTGCGTGTACTCTGGCAGCTTGTCTGACAGATACTGCTCGTACCAGCTCTTCGGTGACTCCGTCTCACCAGATCCACGAGTCTTTCGGGCCCTCAACACATTCTCAAGCACATAGAACTTGGGCTTGTTCAGTCTGACGAACTCAACACTCTGCACGAATGTCTGACACTCGGGCTTCTCCAGGTCGATCGGGTCTGACTTGAATCGCTTGCTGTTCGCTGCACTGTTTAGCTTGCAGCTGAAACTCGACACGAAGAGGTTGATCTGCTTTAGGTTGTCGTCTGACAAGGCGCAGCACTTGTCTAGGCGGGGCTTTTAAAGCCTTTGAAAAATATTAGTTAATAAGATCCTCTTTAGCCCAATAAGGGAAAATATGAATTGCCCCAAAGCTCTACCTAGTTGTTAATGGGGGTTCCTATAAAGTACCCTTAGTAGTATAGGGCCTCAAATTAGGGGATCTACTTTCTAGATCCTCCAAAGGGGTCTGTGTTGTTGTGAAGCAACAGCATGGGCCTGCTCGTCTGATGGTGTGCGTGATGTCGGTGAAAACATGGTCGAAGTGCATCGTCTTACCGCGCTGCTTCAGCGTGCCGTACGACGAAAGCCCAAACATAGTAACCCGGCGCAGCACGGTGGTATTAAGGAGTATGCTTCCGCACCATTAGAACCGAACCAAAGGCAACATTTTTAAGAATCCCTTGGTGTCAATGCACAAAATGATTTCAACGACTCCGCTGAAGTCCTACACCCTAAACCCTCAAACCCTAAAGCCCTAGAAACCCTAAGCCCAAAAACACACAAAACCCTAAACCGTAAGCCCAAAAACCCACAAAACCCTGAAGCCCTTAAACCCCTAAG